TAGGTAAGTTAAACAGTATTTCTTGTTTTTATTTTTTTTGTTTTTTTTAAGGATGTATGAAACAGCTTTTAACCCTATCTGTTGTTTTAAATCAGGTCTAGTTAAAGTGTGTAAAAGAAAATTTAAGGGAACATTAAAAGCATGCCTGTAATGTGAGTTTAGCCTGTATGATAACATAAACGAACTAATATTTGTTTTCTATGATTTACTAACCTGCAGTTGAGCTGATGAACACCAGAGGATGTGCAAACCTCACAATGGTTTTAGACAACTGGAAATATGCCATTATGGTCAGGTCAAAGATCTGCTGCTGCTTCATGACCACAACACCGTGCTGCCCGACTACGGAAGGTCAGCCTTTCTTCATGTTTAATTCCTTCAAAAAAGTAACATTTGATCAATATTCCTGCTCTCCTAAAGTCTTTTTGGGGATATTCTCTTTGAACTTTGGTTGTTTTTTCAGTTATTACCAGTCATATACTCTCCCTGTCATCAGCTAAACGTATTTGATCATAGAAAGCTTTAAAACTAGAGACCATGCCTCCTTAGATGGAGCTCTCATTTGCCTTCAATGATAAGAATTGGATGCACAGAAATGGGGACTTAGCTGCAAAAACACAGTTTGCAAAAAGTTATTTGCCAGGAACCAAACAAATGGTCGATAATCCTCTGTTTAGACCGATGGTCTGAAAACTTTACAATCCAGGGGGACCTTTTGTCTTCAGTCCAGCTAATAAAGACGTTTAAAGCTGCAAAACAAAAAAGTGGGCTTTAAAAGAAAAACGGTTTTATATATATATATATATATAAAATCGGGGAATGTGTACTTTTTTTTTTTTGGAAAGATGAATGCATTTTCAACGTATTGTAAAATTATATTAAAAGAAGATTTTCCAGTTAATAAAATATAAACGTGTGTGTGTGGGTTTCCCCCCCCCCCCAAGAAATTTGATGCAATTAATGAATTGAGGAAATATTAAAACCTTTTTTTTTTAGTATATCTATATTTCAAAGCATTAGTCAGTACTTTGTCCTTTTTCGCCAAACTTATGGGGAGCCATTTTAGTGTCATAAGAGCCACAGTTTGCAGACCCATCTTAAAAAGAATAGTTTTTGTTGTGTAAGTATATGCCTTCTATAAACTCCACATATGCTTAGCTGTAGGAGCCATATATACATTTTTGGAATTGATAAGGATCTGTAATTGAATCGTTGTTAAGCTTATGACGTGGTGCCTTTTGATTGGTTTTCGAATAATTGGTTTATGAAAGAAAAAAGGACTTGCTCTTTATAGAAGTTTGGCACCTTAGGAGAAACACTGTCTTTTGACCGTCACTTTATTTGTTTTGAATCTGCTTGTTTTATTTCTTTTAATTTCAGTAAAGACCAAAAAAATGCCGTCGGATTCAAGACCTCCTTTTTTCAAGAAGAAAGTGTCGCGTTTGAAAGAGCTTTAAGGGGCTAAACAAGTGAGGCTTGCCGCACTTACATTAGCTATACATAGTTTATTTTTTTTTATTTTATTAACATCTAAAATTTAGAATATTTTCTTTAATAATCTTCTCTGTTCTTTATATCAGGGGAAAATGCCTAAATTATCAGTCAGCTCAGTAATAAAGCAACTAAAATCTAAAAGAAAAGTTGGCGTAAATTACATTTTATATTAAATTTAGACATATTCCCTGTTTTGAGAAAAATGATCTCACTAGTTTGGAAAAACTATTTGTAGCTGAATTATTTGCTGTTTGTTACGTCTTATCTTCCACAGCAGAAGCAGATATTTGTTTTATTATAGGTAATGAAAGGATAAATCTGTGTTCAACTCTGCAGGATTCAGCCTCTGTCAGAAGCTCTGGGAGATCTCTACAAAGAGTTCAACTCCCTGAAGGAGCGTCTCGTCCAGCTCACAGCCAGGTTTGAAGATGTCGAGAAATTTGTGGACAATGTTCAATCGGGACAAAGCAGAGAGTTCCAGATGGACGACAGGACATGAGGGAGCAGCAGAAAGTGGAGGTCCACCTGCTGGGAGGAAAACCAGAGTTGTAGTTCGTAGAATCCAGAAACTAGTTGGCTCACAGCACTGATGATGACATCCTGCAGCACAGACCTCATTTCAGATCCTGATTTATTAATGTCAATGTACTTTAGCAGCATCTGAGCCTATGTTGGAGTTTTCCTTAAAGAAAATTATACTTTAGGTCTATGCTGCACAGAGGCGTAGCCTGAAAATCCTAATAGAGGTTGCCCAGTCAATGACCAATAAACACTGAGGGGTGGCCGAAAGGCACCGGACCCTCATCGTCAATCTACACTGTTCCAACAGGAACAAGCACAACATCCATATTTTCTAAATAAAGACAAACTATACTTTCCTGCAGCCTTTGCTAACAAATAGATGCAGAAACATCTATGCTGTGTAAATAAAAGGTAGAGTGGACAAAATTCTTTCAGGTTTGAGTTTTGGGGCAAACATATTTCAATTGTCATTACCTACTTTTATCAATAATCATTCTGCAAAAAAAGTATATTTAAATATACTAATATCCACATTTAATGAATTTTTATATTAAAGTAATTTGTCTATGATTTCACTGAAGACTCTATGATGACTTGCAGAGGCACATCATTTTATCTCTACCCCAAAAAATTTAGTTCTGAAAAGAGTATCTTTAATTCCGTAAAAGTTTAAAAAACAATCCACTGGACTTGGTTTCCAAGGTTTGAAGACATTTCGCTTTCCCTCCAGGAAGCTTTTATCAATTCCAATGTCTGGATCCGCAGTGAGTTTGAGGCTTTATAGAGACAAGGCCTTGTATTGCTTGGAAACATGCAAATTGAAACAGACAAGTGGGTCGTTTGGTTCCATTGTTAGCCTGTAATATCTGAAACCTGTTTATGATTCTGAAGGTCGGTCGTTAAAGGGGGGGGTTGTCTCCTGTAATACCTGAACCCTGTCTTTGATTGTTAAGGGTCAGTCAGTCCAAACATTTGAATTGAGAAAGCTTCCTGCAGGGGAAGTTAAACGTCTTTAAACCATGGAAACCAAGTCCAGTGGATTGTTTTTTAAACTTTTACGGAATGACTATGACCTGGATGACTGAGAATCTTCATCAGCAGTATCTTTAATGTTTGTATATTGATGTGCATAATTAACCAGTGTTTCTGTTAAGCAGTTGTTAATATATGAAAAATTTAAATGTTTAAGTTTGAAAATTCCCCTTCAGAGTATTACTGCTGCCACCATCTGTATTAGAGGGGGAAAAAATGGTAGGGGTGGCCAATGATTGGCTAAGGCCACCCCTGGCCCCCCATCTAGCTCCACCCCTGATGCTGCACCATTAAATGTCCAGATGTTGATCTTAAACATTATTCTTGAACAGGTAGCTGCAATCGGACGGACGTGGAGCTGTAACCTTGCTGCTCGTTCTTGTTGGTTTTGTCAATTAAGAGAATACTCAGCACATTTCAAAGCGCATGCTGAGGTCAGTTGGCTATTAACAAGAAGCCTGGCCTCTATCCAAACAAATGGCTTAATATCCTTCTTTACATCTTTGCCTGAGTAAACACATGAACACACCCTAACTGCTCAGTGCCTTATTGCACAGCAGGCTATTGTCAGTCCATGTCAGAGCACTCTCCCACTGTGAAAAGGTAGAAACGGACACTGTTACTGAGCTCTATGTCTCCCTCGTCTTTCCCAGGACATTTGCCAAGGTTACCACAACAGAAGGGAGGGGGAAGAGGAGAGCACACAAAGCGTAGAGCCATTGACGGGGAGAGCGTCATGCAAAATGCATGAGACACCAGAGAGGAGGAAGTGAGCAGATGCATTTTTTTTCTGCAGGGTTTTTTTTTTTTTTTTTTTATTAGGCACAATCCATTGGTCAACATTCTTCTTGATGATTTTTCATTGTGAATAAGAAATCTGTTGTGTCAGTTCAGTTTTTTTTTTTTTTTTTTTTTTTAATCCATCTTTTAAAGTCTTCATCCACTGGTCCATTATATTCAAAGTAAAGGTAAGAAGAAGAAATTAGGTGAGAGAGGAGGATCCAGGAAGGCAACGAGAAGGGGGCTTGGCTTCTGACTGATCCTGACCAAAAGGGAGTTGACTTTTCTCTGTGGACTTTTTGTTCAGTGCTGCAGCGTTTATCTACGGCAGCTCTCGGGGGGGACACTTAACTGTGCACTAACTCTGTCCTCAGCCGGTCCTTCAGCATGCCGAACATACAGGAAGAGTGCAGTGAACATGAGGATGTCCTTGGAGGAGGTGATGGTGGCTTAAAAGTGAGGAGTGGAGTGCTTTCAGAGATGACAAATGGAGTAGAGGAAAATGTACATAAGGAGTCACTGATGATGGAGCTGACCAGGCTGGTGCAGAAGGTGATGAAAGAGAGTAGCTGGTGGGAGAGGAGGGGAGTGGACTGCAGCATCCTGACTGCAGCGTTCCTCTGCCTTCCGCCTGGTAAGGATAAAACTCACAGCTGTAAACATCCAGATAAAACTCCCTGTGGCTCTGAAACTGTTTAACTAAATATTCTCACATTTCTGTTGAGCTTTAAATTAAATATAACTGCATATACATCAATTACTTTCATTAGTATTAAACACTGTGAAGTAATTGGAAAGGGAAATAGTTTTTTGATCATCTTTACTAATATACAGTGCAACCAGTTCTTTTTCTTTTTTAAATAAAGTCCATCTATGTGGACCTCTGAGGTTTCGTTAAAGAACATTAGAGCTTCACAGCAGAGGGATCTGCGATACATTGCTGGAGAGGTTTAAACATAGCTGCCAGTTTTAACAGACAGAGAAGAAAGAATCAGCCCAGAGACCAACGATAACAATGAAGAAGCCAGAGATCCTCAAGTGGAAGGTCTGTTGACAATGACTGTTTCAGATTTGTTATAAAAACATAACATTTTTCAGACAATCTCTGCTTCAGAGGACCCCATTATGAGTGTTAAATGAATACAATAAAATATAAAACATCAATAAATAAAATAAATCAAAACATTTGTAGGAGTGTACCTAGAAATATAGTTTGTACCAAGTACTAAAAGTGCAGCTATTACCAGTCCAGGCTTTGAAATGGAATGATCGGCATAGATGTTTGTTTGTATTTATTGTTTAGTGTGTTTATGATATTAAGAGGAGGTGGATTTTGGGATGTTGGATCTGAGGAAGGAACTCTTTTAAGTGCTTTTGTGTTTGATTTAATGCTGCAAAGTTTTCCCAATGGAGGTTGTACAATTAGTTAATTGACCTTCAATACATCTAGAAACTTTTCTAGATTTGTCCAGTAAACAATGTCTAGATGATCTCCACAATCCTCTCTGCTGTCTTCATCACCTAAGTCCTTTCTATCAGTTCAATGAAAAAAATACCTTATTAATCCCAAAGGGAAATAAAATATTGTTGCACCCACGCAGAGAAACCTTTTGAATTTACAGAAGAGTGTTTGCTAAAGGTCAACTAAAGGTCAAACAGGTTTAAAAGTTGCTCCAGTCTGATTAAATGTTTGTTTCAAATGTGCAAAAATATAAGTGCATCAGGAAATTAACACTGCCACTACCTTTGGCACACCAACCTCAATGGAAAATTGTGGTTTAAGCATCATGCTGTAAGGATGCCCGTTTAGCAAGGATAGAAAAGCTGGTTAGAGTCAGAGGGAAGATAGCTGTAGTTCCATGTTGAGAAATCCTCACAGCAGTGCTGTAAAATGCCGAAAAAGGTCCGATTTTACTTCTATGTTAAAGGTCATAGCTACAACATTTTTATATAAGCAATGATTTTTTTCAAAAATAATACCTGCGCAGTGTTAGTTTTACTGAAAAAAAGTAGTATACAGATAATTGTTATATGTATTTTGACAATGCCAACAATGATGGCTTCTTTATATTATGCAGATAAGGAACTCCTGAACATTCCTGCTTAATTTAGAGGTTTTCTAATATGTAGGTAAAAGGATGACCTGGAGATGTGAGGAGTCTGGTTTCTGATGAAAAAGTGTCAGACACAGGCAGACCAGCTTTCTCTGGTTTCAGATAAGGTTTCATTTTACCACCTGATCTTCCTGCTAAATCATTTCAGGTTAGAAACTTATTCTGAAAGTTTGGATAGATTTCTGTCTGTTCAAGCAGATAAAAAAATGTTCATTGATCACTTCTCCTCCTGGCTCGCTATGTTAAGTGTTCATTTTGGATTTTAGCAGCTTTTATTATTTTCTATTAAATTTCTAGTTATAGTTTTTGGTTGATAAACTAAGGGTAGGGAACCTGCTAACTATGTACTTATGGAGGTCCTTTCAAACTGAAAAGACCTTTGCTGGACGTCTTCTCTGCACTCCACCCCATTTCCTGTCAGTCTACCTTTAAAATAAATGCCCTATAGTACCAAAAAAATATAAAATGGATAAAAAGGGGAAAATGAATTTATCTGCAGCAGACATAATCTAACAGCAAAGACTTAACACAGACATATGTCTTAGGCTCTCAAAAAAAGAGCTTTTTTGGGATCATCTTTGTGAATCTGTTTTTCTGTCTATCAGACAATGTTATCTATGATGTTTTGCATTAATTCAGAAAAATAAACTGCAACAGATTTTGTCTTTGTAGCGGACCACTGTGAAAACATGCAGGTTCTATGTCATGTATTCTCCTGCTTGAGTGTATCATAGAGTTAAACAAAAAATAGAAAAGTTAAATAGAAAAATAATAATGCATGTTAGTCAAACGTGACAGTAAAATCTTGCTTTCCTTCCAAAACTTTCCTATTACAATTTCTCAAGTTTCATAACATCTATACACACAAACTCACTTGCCATCTTATCAGATAAACCAGATACATTTCTTCCTAATGTTATTATCCAATTATATGGCAGCAACGCAATGCATTTAGGCACCTACTGTAAAGTAGCTAAGGAGCAGATATTTTAAAACCAAGCATCAGATTGGAGAAGAAATGGGATTTAGGAATTACATGGTTGTTTGCATCAATTTCAGAATCTATGTGGGTCTTCATGCAAAACGTTTTTAGAGAATGGCAAGAAAAAGAGAGGGTATCCGCTGGCTAGGAGATGTTTAAATGGAAATTTATTGATTCTTGGAGTTCAAACATACTCTCCTCATGATCATAATAATCTAACCAGCAGAAAACTCTAATGGGACACCATTCCTGTTGGCTGTTACAAGAAATCCAAGGTTCTGATTAAAACTGGTTTCCTAAAATTGGACAATATTAGAAAAAAACATCTGGTGCATGATTTTGAAGATAGGGTTAGACTTAATCATAAACAACATGAAATCATGATTTGATGAAGATATGCTAATGGCTTATTTTAGGCCACATCTTACCTGACCAAGTTTCTGACCATGACTATTTTAAACCAATAGTTTCATCGCTTTACAGGTCTCCCACCAAAGCATAAAAAAAAAAAAATATTTACTTTGACTAGACCCTTGGGACACCTACTGCTTTTCCTTTAAAGCCTTTCTGTTGATGATTGTTCCGTTTTGGAGCATTGTCCTGCTGCTGACCCAGTTTGGTTCAAATTTCAGAATCTTATTTACCAACCTAAACCTTGCTGCCATCACTTCTTATAAAAAAAAGAAATATGCCTTTTGGCTATACTTTTCTTAAGAAGCTCCACTTGTTCATTATTTTTTCTAATCAAGATGAGATGGCAACTTAGTTTTCCAAGTAACTAACAGTGGTTTTTATTTTATTTCACGTTTATTTTCACGTTTATCCATCATTTTCCTCCTTTTTCAGGTGTTCAAGATATCTATCATGAAGCTCTTGCAGCCTTTTGGGTTCAAAAATGTAAAGTAGGGAGAGTAGGAATATAAAAAAAAGGGTTGCAATCCATTTTAAATGCAGATTAACATGCAGCAAGTTAGGAGTTTCCAGTTAATTTAAAAGCACATCAAAAAGGAATTGCGAGCTACATCATATCACCTGTGATGTGTCTTCCAGCTTTCCTGCTGCTGGGCTCACATCATTTGTTGTGGTTTTTATTGGGAATGCTGTTGATGGGCGTAGCTCACGCTGTCATCACCGTCAAAGGGACACATCTGGCCAGCCATGGGGCCCTCAGTGAGTCGCAGACCTGGGGAAAGTTCTGGTCCATCTTCTTCATTGAGGTGAGCAGAAGAAATATTTAATCTTTTACCATATTAAATAATTGAAACCAAAATATATTTTAGAGCTGAATATTCTTACTTTAATATCTTAAGCAGGGCTTCATTTAAAGTGTTTTTTTTTTTTTTATGTTTTTAACTATATTTCCTTAAAACCATCTAAAAAGCTCACGAAGTCCTGATTGGTCAGGTTTGAAAACCGCACTAGTTTGCAGGACCAAGTAGAGAATCCTGTGAAGGGAAACCAGAAACTCTTAAAGCTCAAAAAGGAAGTTTTAGTCTAGAATACTAAGCTCCTGATTTTGTAAAAAAAATCTATATTTTATTTGGGTATTTAGCAGAAAAACATTACATCATGTTGGTTATCTTAACTAACTTAAAAGTCTTATTTAATGCCAGACAGTAAAAACAAATATTTGTTTCTGTTAGTCAGTGTAAATAAAATGTGTACTGAACCTGTATCACACTTTCCTGTCATAGCCTGCACCCTAAGCAAGAGATGCACCCATAAATTGATTTATGGGGTGACTTAGAGACATGAGAGATAACAGTGGCATCGCTCTGTTCAAAACTCAGGGTAGTTTGGATTCTCTAATTAACCTCTAACTTCCAGTATTTTTCAGCAGGTATCTAAATCTTTGAGATATCTTCAGCTGCAAAGCAGAATATGTTGTTAAAAAACTATTTACCGGTAGTAACTTCCTGCAACCCAGGCAACCAGTAATTCAGTTTACTAAACTTCTAAATTTGCATAAAGTACAAAGGTTGGTATTATTCCCTTATCGCTAATTAAACCTTTGGCCAGCAATTTCCAAAGGTTAAGTTAGAAAAACAGACACCTACCTTTTATTTAGTCTGTTAAATCATCTGCTGAAGTACATGTTTAGTTCTAATGTCTGTTTTTTTTAACTGTAGTCCTTTATTATTCTGCTTAGATCTGTGGTTCATTCTCAGCCCAAGCCGGCATACATGGCCATATTAAGATGCATCATGCACACACTAACGTCATTGGACTGGGGGACTCCAGTGTCTGGAAAGTCCCCTTCCTACCTCGTATGGTCTACCTGTTCATAGCCCCCCTATCTGTGCCCCTCATCACTCCTCTTGTTGCCCTCGGTAAGACGGATCTAAGGTTTACAGGTTCATCTTAATATTTCTAGAATTTCTAAATTAATTACCAGCTTGAACTTGATTTTTTTTTTTTTTTTTTTTACTTTTGGATGCTCCTGAAATGTCTCGTTTGTTTGCAGCACATCTTAAAGGACATTCTTCATTCGCGGTGGCTCGGACGCTCCTGATGATAGCACTAGGTCTGTATTCGCAGTACTGGCTGCTCATCAATGTATCCGGCTTCAGGTCGACGCAGGGAGCCTTGTTCTGCATGTTGGTGAGCAGAGCCATGTTCTCTGTGCCGTACATCCATGTCAACATTTTCCAGGTGAGAACAAAGTCCCTATTTTGTTCTTCTTTTATCCAAAATGCAAATCTCAAACAAAGCGTCTTTAAAAAAAAAAAGACCTGTTTAAAAGTATACAAGATAGCATTGTTAAAACAGATGGTAAACCCTATAATATACTCAACAAATTGAGATTGTTAAGATAAAAGCAGGAAATGACTGAGTTAAACAGGATAGACATCCAAATGTAGTTTGCTTAAAAATGGTTTAAAATCATTCAGTGCCTTGTGGTTATTTTAGTAAAACATTACCTGTAGAAAAAACATATTTTTCCCAAGTTCTATATATATTATCATAAGTAAACTCAATGAGATTGGATTGGAGAGCACAGTTGTTTTCCTTGATTTACATTTAAGGAGCTTGATGGAGCTGCAGTAACCAAGCTTTTGTCAGGCAGCTGTGTTTGCATGAAGACAAACAACCGTTTTATCAAAATAAAGCCAGAGATTCTGGTTTACAATATTTATATAAACTGAACAAAATTCTTAATAAAGACCCTTGAGGGACAAGTTTTGATAAATTCAGATGAAAAGAAGACCATAGATTAACCTGGTCTAACTACTAACCAACTGCCCTTTACTTTAAAGTAATTAAGATTAGGCTGAAATTCAATCTGAAAGACTCTCATCAGCTTCACCTAAACCCCCTGCGATGTCCCTCGTTCAGCTCCAGCCAATCACCTTTCAAGATCCCCTCCATTTAGCTCCTGGCCTACATTCTCTCTCCCGCTTGCAAGCAAACTTTCACCAACTTTCAACCCGGGGGGAGGACTTCTCTAATCCTTTTCAAGGTTACTCATCCAAGCGTATGTAGTTTCACAGCACCGAAGTCCTCTGCCGGGGCCCGAGCACCAAAGAACTTATTTATTTACATCTTCATCTGTTTCTGTCTCCTAGAACCCCACTCAGCCTCTGCAGATGGCTGCTCACACCATTGTTGAGCCTGGTCCTACTGGAGGTTTCTTCCTTTTAAAAGGGAGTTTTCCTCTCCACTGTCGCTACATGCATGCTAGGTGAAAGGGATTGCAGAAAGTCACTGAGTCCTCACAATCAGCTGTTTTTTTTCGTAAATAGAAATATGTTGAAGAATATGAGTGTTTTACCTGTGTAAATAAATTCAATACTTTTCAGGAGTAAATTCCTCTACTGTGAGATCAATCAATCAATTCTAATTGCAGCTTTTCTCTGTGTTGGTCTCTAGATTGAAATACTTGTAAAGAATAAAACACAAATTATTAGAAATGACAGCAGTTACATTGAAACTACATCAGAAATCCACAGGGGTTGAGATATTTTTGGGAGAACATTATATTTGAATGAACAGAATTATGAGATATTTTAACCCGAATTATTTAAACTGTTTAAGTTATTTATCATGTAGCCTTTTTTATTGTATGTGTGAAGTATGCAATTTCATTTGAGATTCGTCCTCAAATCATCATCCAGATTATTCTTAAAAGTCTTTGGAAACCAAATCCCCCACAGCTTTGCTTCTTTTTCATTTGCTGCCAACTGATCACGAGAGCGTTTTATAACAGGCGCTGTGGGAAACTCCAGCAGCAGGCCGCATTGTGTTACCATCAGAGAACTAAAACAATCCAGGCTTGATTTTCCCAGGCAGGATCCTGCAGGCCATTGTACATTGTTCAGATAAAAGTGTGTGAAGGTGGATTGGAAAATATAGGTTTCTGATGTTTGTTTAAACTGGGAGGTCGGACTGGAGACCTTTTCTCCAGCGTCTCCTGGGTCACTGGGTGCTGTTTTTGGCTGGTTTCACCTTCCTTTCCACCCCCTAGAGTCAGAGCTCTTAGGTCGAGCTCCACCTCTGATTTGATTTGTTTGATGACACTGAAAACATCCTGCAAATATTGGGTTTTCACGGGGCATTGGTAACAAAAAGATTTAGAAATTCTTGGAATTGATTTGCACAATCCCCACAGCTGCAGTTTCAATCTCCTCCCATCTCTTTTAAGTAAATTTAAACAGTGACACACCTGAAAGGATAAAGCAAACTTTCAGATGGAATTTAAACAACTTGCTGTTATTTTTTGTGATTTGTTTGACCTGTGTTTTGCAGCAATTTTACAACAAACTCAAAGAGTTCTTCATTTTTATAACCTCTTAAGGGTCTTTGTCAAAACATGATTCCACCATATAATATAAACCTTTCATATAGATAACTAAATGTCTCAAATTCAGGGAGTTTTTAGCCATGATGACTGCATTTAAACTTTTGTTTGGCCCCATGCAATAAAGTATTGTTGTAAAATCAGAGGAAAGCCCCTTTGAGATGCTTTGCATTCCCTGTAGAGCAGCACAAATGAATAAATCTCTTGTTAAATTAGGATTAATGTCACTCTGGTACACCAGTACACTCTGGTGCGATCTGAAGCTAATTCCAAAGCATTTCACTCTTATAACCTAATTCCTGTTTTTAATTAGGTAGAACAGCATAAGAAAGCTAAAAAAAAANCAACTCCCTGAAGGAGCGTCTCGTCCAGCTCACAGCCAGGTTTGAAGATGTCGAGAAATTTGTGGACAATGTTCGATCGGGAGGAAAACGTGCAGCACAAAGCAGAGAGTTCCAGACCTCCAGATGGATGACAGGACATGAGGGAGCAGCAGAAAGTGGAGGTCCACCTGCTGGGAGGAAAACCAGAGTCGTAGTTCGTAGAATCCAGAAACTAGTTGGCTCACAGCACTGATGATGACATCCTGCAGCACAGACCTCATTTCAGATCCTGATTTATTCATGTCAATGTACTTTAGCAGCATCTGAGCCTATGTTGGAGTTTTCCTTAAAGAAAATTATACTTTAGGTCTATGCTGCACAGAGGCGTAGCCTGAAAATCCTAATAGAGGTTGCCCAGTCAATGACCAATAAACACTGAGGGTTGGCCGAAAGGCACCGGACCCTCATCGTCAATCTACACTGTTCCAACAGGAACAAGCACAACATCCATATTTTCTAAATAAAGACAAACTATACTTTCCTGCAGCCTTTGCTAACAAATAGATGCAGATATTTAAACATCTATGCTGTGTAAATAAAAGGTAGAGTGGACAAAATTCTTTCAGGTTTGAGTTTTGGGGCAAACATATTTCAATTGTCATTACCTACTTTTATCAATAATCATTCTGCAAAAAAAGTATATTTAAATCTACTAATATCCACATTTAATGAATTTTTATATTAAAGTAATTTGTCTATGATTTCACTGAAGACTCTATGATGACTTGCAGAGGCACATCATTTTATCTCTACCCCAAAAAATTTAGTTCTGAAAAGAGTATCTTTAATTCCGTAAAAGTTTAAAAAACAATCCACTGGACTTGGTTTCCAAGGTTTGAAGACATTTCGCTTTCCCTCCAGGAAGCTTTTATCAATTCCAATGTCTGGATCCGCAGTGAGTTTGAGGCTTTATAGAGACAAGGCCTTGTATTGCTTGGAAACATGCAAATTGAAACAGACAAGTGGGTCGTTTGGTTCCATTGTTAGCCTGTAATATCTGAAACCTGTTTATGATTCTGAAGGTCGGTCGTTAAAGGGGGGGGTTGTCTCCTGTAATACCTGAACCCTGTCTTTGATTGTTAAGGGTCAGTCAGTCCAAACATTTGAATTGAGAAAGCTTCCTGCAGGGGAAGTTAAACGTCTTTAAACCATGGAAACCAAGTCCAGTGGATTGTTTTTTAAACTTTTACGGAATGACTATGACCTGGATGACTGAGAATCTTCTTCAGCAGTATCTTTAATGTTTGTATATTGATGTGCATAATTAACCAGTGTTTCTGTTAAGCAGTTGTTAATATATGAAAAATTTAAATGTTTAAGTTTGAAAATTCCCCTTCAGAGTATTACTGCTGCCACCATCTGTATTAGAGGGGGAAAAAATGGTAGGGGTGGCCAATGATTGGCTAAGGCCACCCCTGGCCCCCCATCTAGCTCCACCCCTGATGCTGCGCCATTAAATGTCCAGATGTTGATCTTAAACATTATTCTTGAACAGGTAGCTGCAATCGGACGGACGTGGAGCTGTAACCTTGCTGCTCGTTCTTGTTGGTTTTGTCGCAATTAAGAGAATACTCAGCACATTTCAAAGCGCATGCTGAGGTCAGTTGGCTATTAACAAGAAGCCTGGCCTCTATCCAAACAAATGGCTTAATATCCTTCTTTACATCTTTGCCTGAGTAAACACATGAACACACCCTAACTGCTCAGTGCCTTATTGCACAGCAGGCTATTGTCAGTCCATGTCAGAGCACTCTCCCACTGTGAAAAGGTAGAAACGGACACTGTTACTGAGCTCTATGTCTCCCTCGTCTTTCCCAGGACATTTGCCAAGGTTACCACAACAGAAGGGAGGGGGAAGAGGAGAGCACACAAAGCGTAGAGCCATTGACGGGGAGAGCGTCATGCAAAATGCATGAGACACCAGAGAGGAGGAAGTGAGCAGATGCATTTTTTTTCTGCAGGGTTTTTTTTTTTTTTTTTTTATTAGGCACAATCCATTGGTCAACATTCTTCTTGATGATTTTTCATTGTGAATAAGAAATCTGTTGTGTCAGTTCAGTTTTTTTTTTTTTTTTTTTTTTTAATCCATCTTTTAAAGTCTTCATCCACTGGTCCATTATATTCAAAGTAAAGGTAAGAAGAAGAAATTAGGTGAGAGAGGAGGATCCAGGAAGGCAACGAGAAGGGGGCTTGGCTTCTGACTGATCCTGACCAAAAGGGAGTTGACTTTTCTCTGTGGACTTTTTGTTCAGTGCTGCAGCGTTTATCTACGGCAGCTCTCGGGGGGGACACTTAACTGTGCACTAACTCTGTCCTCAGCCGGTCCTTCAGCATGCCGAACATACAGGAAGAGTGCAGTGAACATGAGGATGTCCTTGGAGGAGGTGATGGTGGCTTAAAAGTGAGGAGTGGAGTGCTTTCAGAGATGACAAATGGAGTAGAGGAAAATGTACATAAGGAGTCACTGATGATGGAGCTGACCAGGCTGGTGCAGAAGGTGATGAAAGAGAGTAGCTGGTGGGAGAGGAGGGGAGTGGACTGCAGCATCCTGACTGCAGCGTTCCTCTGCCTTCCGCCTGGTAAGGATAAAACTCACAGCTGTAAACATCCAGATAAAACTCCCTGTGGCTCTGAAACTGTTTAACTAAATATTCTCACATTTCTGTTGAGCTTTAAATTAAATATAACTGCATATACATCAATTACTTTCATTAGTATTAAACACTGTGAAGTAATTGGAAAGGGAAATAGTTTTTTGATCATCTTTACTAATATACAGTGCAACCAGTTCTTTTTCTTTTTTAAATAAAGTCCATCTATGTGGACCTCTGAGGTTTCGTTAAAGAACATTAGAGCTTCACAGCAGAGGGATCTGCGATACATTGCTGGAGAGGTTTAAACATAGCTGCCAGTTTTAACAGACAGAGAAGAAAGAATCAGCCCAGAGACCAACGATAACAATGAAGAAGCCAGAGATCCTCAAGTGGAAGGTCTGTTGACAATGACTGTTTCAGATTTGTTATAAAAACATAACATTTTTCAGACAATCTCTGCTTCAGAGGACCCCATTATGAGTGTTAAATGAATACAATAAAATATAAAACATCAATAAATAAAATAAATCAAAACATTTGTAGGAGTGTACCTAGAAATATAGTTTGTACCAAGTACTAAAAGTGCAGCTATTACCAGTCCAGGCTTTGAAATGGAATGATCGGCATAGATGTTTGTTTGTATTTATTGTTTAGTGTGTTTATGATATTAAGAGGAGGTGGATTTTGGGATGTTGGATCTGAGGAAGGAACTCTTTTAAGTGCTTTTGTGTTTGATTTAATGCTGCAAAGTTTTCCCAATGGAGGTTGTACAATTAGTTAATTGACCTTCAATACATCTAGAAACTTTTCTAGATTTGTCCAGTAAACAATGTCTAGATGATCTCCACAATCCTCTCTGCTGTCTTCATCACCTAAGTCCTTTCTATCAGTTCAATGAAAAAAATACCTTATTAATCCCAAAGGGAAATAAAATATTGTTGCACCCACGCAGAGAAACCTTTTGAATTTACAGAAGAGTGTTTGCTAAAGGTCAACTAAAGGTCAAACAGGTTTAAAAGTTGCTCCAGTCTGATTAAATGTTTGTTTCAAATGTGCAAAAATATAAGTGCATCAGGAAATTAACACTGCCACTACCTTTGGCACACCAACCTCAATGGAAAATTGTGGTTTAAGCATCATGCTGTAAGGATGCCCGTTTAGCAAGGATAGAAAAGCTGGTTAGAGTCAGAGGGAAGATAGCTGTAGTTCCATATTGAGAAATCCTCACAGCAGTGCTGTAAAATGCCGAAAAAGGTCCGATTTTACTTCTATGTTAAAGTTCATAGCTACAACTTTTTTATATAAGCAATGATTTTTTTCAAAATAATACTTGCGCAGTGTTAGTTTTACTGAAAAAAAAAGTAGTATACAGATAATTGTTATATGTATTTTGACAATGCCAACAATGATGGCTTCTTTATATTATGCAGATAAGGAACTCCTGAACATTCCTGCTTAATTTAGAGGTTTTCTAATATGTAGGTAAAAGGATGACCTGGAGATGTGAGGAGTCTGGTTTCTGATGAAAAAGTGTCAGACACAGGCAGACCAGCTTTCTCTGGTTTCAGATAAGGTTTCATTTTACCACCTGATCTTCCTGCTAAATCATTTCAGGTTAGAAACTTATTCTGAAAGTTTGGATAGATTTCTGTCTGTTCAAGCAGATAAAAAAATGTTCATTGATCACTTCTCCTCCTGGCTCGCTATGTTAAGTGTTCATTTTGGATTTTAGCAGCTTTTATTATTTTCTATTAAATTTCTAGTTATAGTTTTTGGTTGATAAACTAAGGGTAGGGAACCTGCTAACTATGTACTTATGGAGGTCCTTTCAAACTGAAAAGACCTTTGCTGGACGTCTTCTCTGCACTCCACCCCATTTCCTGTCAGTCTACCTTTAAAATAAATGCCCTATAGTACCAAAAAAATATAAAATGGATAAAAAGGGGAAAATGAATTTATCTGCAGCAGACATAATCTAACAGCAAAGACTTAACACAGACATATGTCTTAGGCTCTCAAAAAAAGAGCTTTTTTGGGATCATCTTTGTGAATCTGTTTTTCTGTCTATCAGACAATGTTATCTATGATGTTTTGCATTAATTCAGAAAAATAAACTGCAACAGATTTTGTCTTTGTAGCGGACCACTGTGAAAACATGCAGGTTCTATGTCATGTATTCTCCTGCTTGAGTGTATCATAGAGTTAAACAAAAAATAGAAAAGTTAAATAGAAAAATAATAATGCATGTTAGTCAAACGTGACAGTAAAATCTTGCTTTCCTTCCAAAACTTTCCTATTACAATTTCTCAAGTTTCATAACATCTATACACACAAACTCACTTGCCATCTTATCAGATAAACCAGATACATTTCTTCCTAATGTTATTATCCAATTATATGGCAGCAACGCAATGCATTTAGGCACCTACTGTAAAGTAGCTAAGGAGCAGATATTTTAAAACCAAGCATCAGATTGGAGAAGAAATGGGATTTAGGAATTACATGGTTGTTTGCATCAATTTCAGAATCTATGTGGGTCTTCATGCAAAACGTTTTTAGAGAATGGCAAGAAAAAGAGAGGGTATCCGCTGGCTAGGAGATGTTTAAATGGAAATTTATTGATTCTTGGAGTTCAAACATACTCTCCTCATGATCATAATAATCTAACCAGCAGAAAACTCTAATGGGACACCATTCCTGTTGGCTGTTACAAGAAATCCAAGGTTCTGATTAAAACTGGTTTCCTAAAATTGGACAATATTAGAAAAAAACATCTGGTGCATGATTTTGAAGATAGGGTTAGACTTAATCATAAACAACATGAAATCATGATTTGATGAAGATATGCTAATGGCTTATTTTAGGCCACATCTTACCTGACCAAGTTTCTGACCATGACTATTTTAAACCAATAGTTTCATCGCTTTACAGGTCTCCCACCAAAGCATAAAAAAAAAAAAATATTTACTTTGACTAGACCCTTGGGACACCTACTGCTTTTCCTTTAAAGCCTTTCTGTTGATGATTGTTCCGTTTTGGAGCATTGTCCTGCTGCTGACCCAGTTTGGTTCAAATTTCAGAATCTTATTTACCAACCTAAACCTTGCTGCCATCACTTCTTATAAAAAAAAGAAATATGCCTTTTGGCTATACTTTTCTTAAGAAGCTCCACTTGTTCATTATTTTTTCTAATCAAGATGAGATGGCAACTTAGTTTTCCAAGTAACTAACAGTGGTTTTTATTTTATTTCACGTTTATTTTCACGTTTATCCATCATTTTCCTCCTTTTTCAGGTGTTCAAGATATCTATCATGAAGCTCTTGCAGCCTTTTGGGTTCAAAAATGTAAAGTAGGGAGAGTAGGAATATAAAAAAAAGGGTTGCAATCCATTTTAAATGCAGATTAACATGCAGCAAGTTAGGAGTTTCCAGTTAATTTAAAAGCACATCAAAAAGGAATTGCGAGCTACATCATATCACCTGTGATGTGTCTTCCAGCTTTCCTGCTGCTGGGCTCACATCATTTGTTGTGGTTTTTATTGGGAATGCTGTTGATGGGCGTAGCTCACGCTGTCATCACCGTCAAAGGGACACATCTGGCCAGCCATGGGGCCCTCAGTGAGTCGCAGACCTGGGGAAAGTTCTGGTCCATCTTCTTCATTGAGGTGAGCAGAAGAAATATTTAATCTTTTACCATATTAAATAATTGAAACCAAAATATATTTTAGAGCTGAATATTCTTACTTTAATATCTTAAGCAGGGCTTCATTTAAAGTGTTTTTTTTTTTTTTATGTTTTTAACTATATTTCCTTAAAACCATCTAAAAAGCTCACGAAGTCCTGATTGGTCAGGTTTGAAAACCGCACTAGTTTGCAGGACCAAGTAGAGAATCCTGTGAAGGGAAACCAGAAACTCTTAAAGCTCAAAAAGGAAGTTTTAGTCTAGAATACTAAGCTCCTGATTTTGTAAAAAAAATCTATATTTTATTTGGGTATTTAGCAGAAAAACATTACATCATGTTGGTTATCTTAACTAACTTAAAAGTCTTATTTAATGCCAGACAGTAAAAACAAATATTTGTTTCTGTTAGTCAGTGTAAATAAAATGTGTACTGAACCTGTATCACACTTTCCTGTCATAGCCTGCACCCTAAGCAAGAGATGCACCCATAAATTGATTTATGGGGTGACTTAGAGACATGAGAGATAACAGTGGCATCGCTCTGTTCAAAACTCAGGGTAGTTTGGATTCTCTAATTAACCTCTAACTTCCAGTATTTTTCAGCAGGTATCTAAATCTTTGAGATATCTTCAGCTGCAAAGCAGAATATGTTGTTAAAAAACTATTTACCGGTAGTAACTTCCTGCAACCCAGGCAACCAGTAATTCAGTTTACTAAACTTCTAAATTTGCATAAAGTACAAAGGTTGGTATTATTCCCTTATCGCTAATTAAACCTTTGGCCAGCAATTTCCAAAGGTTAAGTTAGAAAAACAGACACCTACCTTTTATTTAGTCTGTTAAATCATCTGCTGAAGTACATGTTTAGTTCTAATGTCTGTTTTTTTTAACTGTAGTCCTTTATTATTCTGCTTAGATCTGTGGTTCATTCTCAGCCCAAGCCGGCATACATGGCCATATTAAGATGCATCATGCACACACTAACGTCATTGGACTGGGGGACTCCAGTGTCTGGAAAGTCCCCTTCCTACCTCGTATGGTCTACCTGTTCATAGCCCCCCTATCTGTGCCCCTCATCACTCCTCTTGTTGCCCTCGGTAAGACGGATCTAAGGTTTACAGGTTCATCTTAATATTTCTAGAATTTCTAAATTAATTACCAGCTTGAACTTGATTTTTTTTTTTTTTTTTTTTACTTTTGGATGCTCCTGAAATGTCTCGTTTGTTTGCAGCACATCTTAAAGGACATTCTTCATTCGCGGTGGCTCGGACGCTCCTGATGATAGCACTAGGTCTGTATTCGCAGTACTGGCTGCTCATCAATGTATCCGGCTTCAGGTCGACGCAGGGAGCCTTGTTCTGCATGTTGGTGAGCAGAGCCATGTTCTCTGTGCCGTACATCCATGTCAACATTTTCCAGGTGAGAACAAAGTCCCTATTTTGTTCTTCTTTTATCCAAAATGCAAATCTCAAACAAAGCGTCTTTAAAAAAAAAAAGACCTGTTTAAAAGTATACAAGATAGCATTGTTAAAACAGATGGTAAACCCTATAATATACTCAACAAATTGAGATTGTTAAGATAAAAGCAGGAAATGACTGAGTTAAACAGGATAGACATCCAAATGTAGTTTGCTTAAAAATGGTTTAAAATCATTCAGTGCCTTGTGGTTATTTTAGTAAAACATTACCTGTAGAAAAAACATATTTTTCCCAAGTTCTATATATATTATCATAAGTAAACTCAATGAGATTGGATTGGAGAGCACAGTTGTTTTCCTTGATTTACATTTAAGGAGCTTGATGGAGCTGCAGTAACCAAGCTTTTGTCAGGCAGCTGTGTTTGCATGAAGACAAATAACCGTTTTATCAAAATAAAGCCAGAGATTCTGGTTTACAATATTTATATAAACTGAACAAAATTCTTAATAAAGACCCTTGAGGGACAAGTTTTGATAAATTCAGATGAAAAGAAGACCATAGATTAACCTGGTCTAACTACTAACCAACTGCCCTTTACTTTAAAGTAATTAAGATTAGGCTGAAATTCAATCTGAAAGACTCTTATCAGCTTCACCTAAACCCCCTGCGATGTCTCTCGTTCAGCTCCAGCCAATCATCTTTCAAGATCCCCTCCATTTAGCTCCTGGCCTACATTCTCTCTCCCGCTTGCAAGCAAACTTTCACCAACTTTCAACCCGGGGGGAGGACTTCTCTAATCCTTTTCAAGGTTACTCATCCAAGCGTATGTAGTTTCACAGCACCGAAGTCCTCTGCCGGGGCCCGAGCACCAAAGAACTTATTTATTTACATCTTCATCTGTTTCTGTCTCCTAGAACCCCACTCAGCCTCTGCAGATGGCTGCTCACACCATTGTTGAGCCTGGTCCTACTGGAGGTTTCTTCCTTTTAAAAGGGAGTTTTCCTCTCCACTGTCGCTACATGCATGCTAGGTGAAAGGGATTGCAGAAAGTCACTGAGTCCTCACAGTCAGCTGTTTGTTTTTTTTTGTAAATAGAAATATGCACAAGAATATGAGTGTTTTACCTGTGTAAATAAATTCAATACTTTTCAGGAGTAAATTCCTCTACTGTGAGATCAATCAATTCTAATTGCAGCTTTTCTCTGTGTTGGTCTCTAGATTGAAATACTTGTAAAGAATAAAACACAAATTATTAGAAATGACAGCAGTTACATTGAAACTACATCAGAAATCCACAGGGGTTGAGATATTTTTGGGAGAACATTATATTTGAATGAACAGAATTATGAGATATTTTAACCCGAATTATTTAAACTGTTTAAGTTATTTATCATGTAGCCTTTTTTATTGTATGTGTGAAGTATGCAATTTCATTTGAGATTCGTCCTCAAATCATCATCCAGATTATTCTTAAAAGTCTTTGGAAACCAAATCCCCCACAGCTTTGCTTCTTTTTCATTTGCTGCCAACTGATCACGAGAGCGTTTTATAACAGGCGCTGTGGGAAACTCCAGCAGCAGGCCGCATTGTGTTACCATCAGAGAACTAAAACAATCCAGGCTTGATTTTCCCAGGCAGGATCCTGCAGGCCATTGTACATTGTTCAGATAAAAGTGTGTGAAGGTGGATTGGAAAATATAGGTTTCTGATGTTTGTTTAAACTGGGAGGTCGGACTGGAGACCTTTTCTCCAGCGTCTCCTGGGTCACTGGGTGCTGTTTTTGGCTGGTTTCACCTTCCTTTCCACCCCCTAGAGTCAGAGCTCTTAGGTCGAGCTCCACCTCTGATTTGATTTGTTTGATGACACTGAAAACATCCTGCAAATATTGGGTTTTCACGGGGCATTGGTAACAAAAAGATTTAGAAATTCTTGGAATTGATTTGCACAATCCCCACAGCTGCAGTTTCAATCTCCTCCCATCTCTTTTAAGTAAATTTAAACAGTGACACACCTGAAAGGATAAAGCAAACTTTCAGATGGAATTTAAACAACTTGCTGTTATTTTTTGTGATTTGTTTGACCTGTGTTTTGCAGCAATTTTACAACAAACTCAAAGAGTTCTTCATTTTTATAACCTCTTAAGGGTCTTTGTCAAAACATGATTCCACCATATAATATAAACCTTTCATATAGATAACTAAATGTCTCAAATTCAGGGAGTTTTTAGCCATGATGACTGCATTTAAACTTTTGTTTGGCCCCATGCAATAAAGTATTGTTGTAAAATCAGAGGAAAGCCCCTTTGAGATGCTTTGCATTCCCTGTAGAGCAGCACAAATGAATAAATCTCTTGTTAAATTAGGATTAATGTCACTCTGGTACACCAGTACACTCTGGTGCGATCTGAAGCTAATTCCAAAGCATTTCACTCTTATAACCTAATTCCTGTTTTTAATTAGGTAGAACAGCATAAGAAAGCTAAAAAAAAATAAAAAAAACTATCCTAATTTGGAAAACAGAAATGTTTTCAGTCTAAAAAGGTTCATCTGAGGACAAAGTTAATAGTATCTTTAAATCTTTTTTTTTATTTTTTTACAACAATATCCCAAGGGCTGTTAAATTGATAAATAAATCCAAAACATCTTAGATTTATGCTGGATACTTGCATTGATTTACTTTTTATCTAGAATAAAATTATTAAAAAGATTCCAGAAACGACCAGGGACACATTAGCAACCCCCCTTAGGGACCCACCTTGTTTGAGCCAAAGCACAAGTCACTTTGACCTAATCATGAGCTTTTACTCAGTAATACTGACAGCTTCAATCATTTTATTAGTTTTCAGTTTTATCAATATAAAACTGAGTGGTGTCCTAAGAGTTAGAGCCATCAAACCAGCCAAGCAGGAAGCGTGATGCCAAAAAAAAATTTATTCAGTTTTGATTTGAGAAAAAGAGTTGTTGATGATCACCAAGCAGGAGAATGATGCGAAGTTATCACAGCTTTTTAACGTTCTAATAAGAGCAGTGATCAAGAGTTTTAAAGAGAGACGCACAGTCCTGAACAAATCTGGCAAAACTGGTGAGAGACAGAGATATGTATTACAACTGCCAAAATACTAGTCAAAGGACTATGTACCCCTAAATCAACTCTTTTCTAAAAATCTGTATACATAGATATCTAATCCAGTCCACATGTCACAGGCATCATTTTGACATTTTACTGGACAAGTGTTGAAATCCTTCTTATGTGTCTAAAAATGCCGGTTTAGTTCCCGTCTTCGGGTTAAAAATTGGTTACTTCATCAAAGCAAAGGGAACTTTTTTTATGCATGAAAACAAAACAGATTGATGGGTTACTTGGAAAGAAACATTGCGAAATAGTTTTGTTTAAATTTAAAATTTAATTGGTTTTTTACTTTTCGAAGAACATTTCCATGTAGTGACTGGATCGTAATGACTAAGAAATTTATCATTCTTGAGAACAGGAGGATAGGTTTAAAATCTGCAGGAAAACTTGCTCTATTGATCAGAGGCAAGGCAAGGCAAATTTATTTGTATAGTACAATTCAGTACAAAGACAATGCAAAGTGCTTTACATGATTACAACATAGGAAAATGAAACAGAATCAAATCAAGTAGGAAAAAAAATAAAATAAAATAAAACATGCAAAAACAAAAAAGAATATTTAAAACAGCTGCACTAAAGAAAATAAAAAGGTTGAACTAATGATGTTTCAGTTAAACTGTTTAACTAGAACAGTCGAAGGCCATCCTAAACAAATGTGTTTTTAGTCTTGATTTAAAGGAACTCAGGCTTTCCGCACTTTTACAATTTTCCGGACGTTTGTTCCAGATAAGTGGAGCATAGGAACTAAATGCTGCTTCTTCACGTTTAGCTGTGGTTCTAGGTATGCAGAGCAGGCTGCAGCCAGAAGACCTGAGTGGTCTGGAGGGTCGATACACTGATATCAAGTCTGTGATGTATTTAGGTGCAAAGCCATTCAGGGATTTATAGACTAACAGAAGTATTTTAAAGTCTATTCTCTGAGATACAGGGAGCCAGTGTAAGGACTTTAGAACTGGGGTGATGTGCTCTACTGCAGTTACATGGTGGCTGAATCGCGTTAGATATAAATCAGAACATCTGTCTTATTGCAGCACATTGGTCTGCCCATGTTCTCCCCAACAAGCCGGCCGAAGAGGATTTACCAGATGACCCACGGAGTGCTGAACCTTCCCCGTAACCCTCTGCTGGACTGGATGTTTGGACACTCTCTGATCAGCTGCCATGTAGAGCACCACCTCTTCCCCTTTCTGTCTGACAACATGTGTCTAAAGGTGAAGTAAGCATTACTGCCTCAAATATATAACATAACCTGAATGATATAGATCCTGGGACAAGCTGAAATCCAAAGGGGCTTTATTATTAATAATAGATATGGGCTTTAATATGCAACCAGTTGTTCAATTAAATTGTTTACCATACAGACCTTTTAGGCCAATAATTGGGTATTAAAACTGTCTCGCTTCACTTTGTGCAGGTGAAGCCAGTTGTATCCAAGTACCTGACTGAGAGGAAACTTCCATATCAGGAGGCCTCCTACCTGTCCCGTCTGCACCTGTTCTTTAACAAATACCAGGAGTTAATGGTATTTGCTCCACCCATCACAGAGCTGGTGGGAGTCCAATGATGGAGCGAAGGGGCTGGAGCTAGTTGGACTGAGACTTTTCAGCTTACATCATGCCGATTAAAAAACAGCCTTTAAAACACAAGGCATTAGATACATTTGCACTGTAGAGTTTAAATTATGAGAGATGGTTTTTAAAATGTTAATCTTTAGGCTTACATGTTAGCAGATGATTGAAGCACTAACACATAGATTTAACCAAAAAACATGTTCTCCAATCAGGAACCGCAAAGATTTTTCTACTGATTTGTTTTCTGTCTCATGAAGGGTCTCTTCTTCATCATCATCACCATCATCATCTTCCCCTTTTACCTCCAAAATACAGCATACGCTACCTCAACTCAAGTTGGAAAATCATGCATCTGCAACAAATTTACTAAAGGCGATGATTTTCCTGTACATTTATCAGGCGAAATTGGAAAAGTGTGTGATGAAGAGTGAGCATGGAACTAAATGTTCTGTAAGCTAAAAGCACAAAACTTTTCCAGACTGCAGATATCAATTTTATTGCGTTAAAGACACACAAAAATTGTCGGCAAGACAAAAATGCCTTATTCTATATGCTTTTTTTGCCTTTTTAAATGGAATAAAGCCAACAACTATCTAATAATGTTTTTAAGCCAATAACTTATTAATATTATTGCCCTTCAGTATAAAAGGTTAGTATGACATACACTTTATTGTAAATAATCAAAGATTCCTTTCATTTTTAACTTATCTGCAGCTTAAAAGCATTAATTTCGAAGAACTGCAATTATATGTATATCTTTTGACATAACTGGCAAAGATTATTAGAGTTTTAAACCATTTTTTGCCAGCGACAATGGAATAAAATCTTACATTATTGGCTAAATGTTATTATACTGGTGCTAAAATGTTATTATATAATTGGTAAGTTATTTTCTTTATTATTTAACAGCCTTCAGAAGTGGAATGGTTTCTACTTTCATGTTATTTTTTTATGGGAAGTAAAAGGTTGCCACAAATTCTGTTGAAAATGGTTAATCAGATCTTTTTCTATCCTTCTAAACTTTAACTGTGTGAAATAATCCTATAGTGGGAGGTCCTGAAATGCTATTTCCAAGGATTAGACGATCAGAGTCAGGATTTTACGGTCATATGCTGAAACTTTTAAAGTTTTAACCCAGTTAGAGCTCAGATGTCAGTGTTTAATGCAACCGGGCTGCTTTTATGATTTGTGGAGTCTGTTTACCCATTCTCTATGCGTTCTTGTTATTTCCTGTCATCTGTGAATGAGTCTCTGATTTTAGAATGAATAAACTGAAAGATTTTTTTCTCTCTTTTACCCCTTCCATCTGTTTTCAGTTTTCCCCTCCTGAGTTAAACTTAGTTGATACAAAAACTGAACAAACACAGATCCTGTGAAAATGATAAAATATGCAAGTAAATCCACAGAGGATAACCTGAGAATTAGGAAATGCAAAATCCTGGGCCTAGTCAGAGTCCAGATCCTGAAATCATTCAGAATCTGTGAGGTGACGGAAATTGGTCGTACATGGAAGAAGTCCTCACACAGCTGAAAGTGAGGAGAGGATCCAGCAAAAGAGTGAGTCCAGATTGGTGCTTTAAGGCAAAGGATATGAAAACAGGACATAAGAACTTTTAGTCATGTTAAAGGCAATTCTTTTTTTTTTTTTTTTTTTTNTAGTTATTATGACTGATACCTCTGGTCGTTTCTCAGCAGAATAAACCATGCCTAACCCCGCCTTACCATCCATTGGTGGCAGATTCAGTTTCTGTGCTTCTTTATGCAAAACTAGAAAACATCCTTATTCCTCATTTCAAACTGGGCCATACCTCACTTTATTTCCTTTTTTTTTTTTTTTTTTTTTTTTTTACTCTTTGCTTAGTGTGGCATTATTTGACACTGCTGCACATAAATTCCAGCCTTGCTTCCTGTGGGTTTCTATGTCTTCTCCATTCTAATTTCTTTTAGATAAACAGCTGGTACAACTGTGTCCTTTCAGCAAAAATGTGCTTGGTTTGAATCCTGGCCTAAGGTCTTATTCTATGGAGTTTGGAGGCATTTGGACTTTCTCCCACAGTCCCAAAACAAAATGGTTAGGATAACTGGTTTAAGCATAGTTGTTTGTCCTGTATGTCCCAGCTGTACAGGAATAACCTGAGGTTAGGCTCTTGCCCTCTGGAACCCTGCAAAGATAACCTGATATTTATGGATGGGTGATTTTATTGCCACCCAGTGGAATAAACTCAACATTACAGTGGATTAGATGTGGTTTCTTACTCTTTTGACAATAAATGAAAATAAAAACAAATTACTTCTATAAAGGTTTTTTGTTTTTAACTCTTTGAAATCAATAACTTTGGCAACATTCATAAAAATTGTTCAATAAAAAAAAAAACCCTTTTCCATTTTAATCAGTGTTAATTGCTGCAAGGTGGCGCAGTTTGTTGCACTCTATCCTTGTAGGCTTTGAGTCTTTCTGCATGGTGAATGTATAGGTACTCTGACTTTCTGCAACGGTCCAAAACATGACTTTTAGGTGACTCTAAACTGCCCTTAGGTGTGTGCGAAGGGTTCCATGTCTCTGTGATGGACTGGAAATGTACGCTTGACCAAAAATGACCTTAACTGACAAGTGGTAGAAGCAGGATGGGTCATGGCCAATACAAGAGATGGAACACTTGCAGAAGTGAACACAATGTAGTTTAAAAATGTTCTTCAAAATCAAAGTTGACAAATCAATTGAGTTTTTATTCTTTTAGAAACTAAGAACTTAAATCCTTGGTAGATCTGGGAAAATCTGAACCACTGGACACTGGGTGGTAGCAGAGAGCAACTCTAATGCCTAACACAATGACAACATTTGCATCTGCTCCTGATTTTTGAGCAGCAGACATTTCAGCCTGTTGAACTTAGCAAATTCCTCAGCAGTCAAAGTAAAACACCACAGCTGATTGTCAAACTCTTGATATGAAGAATGTTTAAGCTCCTTAACCAATTAATTTGGTTGTAGCCATCTTTTGTCTGATTAAAAGTCTGGGTTTTTGTGTTACATATGAGCCAGAGTAATAGTTTTTTCTTCTGTCAGCTGTTCTTCAGCTGATGTTACTGGTTTGTGACTCCACCCTGTAAGGAGGGGAGGGTTTTGATTGTGTCTGTGGGAGTTTGGTTTGCATATGAGTGTTTAGTGGGAGGTTTCTTTTAGACTGAAATGATGAGCTCTGAATAAAGGTGGGGTTTTCAGGCTCTTCAGTTTGAACCAGGAACTGTGGGCTGATAAAAGCGGCTCAGCCAGTTTTTTTTTCAGAGCTTTTAAGAGGGTTGGGAGCGAACTAAGAGAACAGCAGAGACATGGCAGATCCAGCAGCAGTGGAGACTTGCACTATGCCCAAACAGCAGAGCCTGTGTGAAGTCAGTCCAGGTAATCTGAAAGCAGGTGAGCCTGCAGCTTGTGGTCAGTCTGTAAAGGATGTCCAAAAGTGTCTTCAGAGTACTTCTGTCAAACCTGCTTCTGAGAATGGTCTCAAGCAAAATGGAGCATCTACTGCTCCTCAGGACAAGACTAAAGAACAAAGTCAGAACCCAAAGACTGCGGAGGTCCTAGGAGAACAAGACAGTCTGAAGAAGTCTGAAGACCCCAAAATCCCAGCAGAAAACAAGATAGAGCCAGAAACACAGACAAACCAGGAGCCAAAACCAGAGGAAGTAACGGAGGATCCATTGGGCCCCGATGATGTGGTATGTGACTCCTGCATTGAAACCCCTTGCCGGGCCCTAAAGTCTTGCCTCACCTGTATGGTGTCCTACTGCGAGCCGCACCTCAGGCCTCACTTGGAGAACCCAAAGTTTCAGAACCATCGACTAGTGGAGCCGCTCAGGGACATAGAGAGGCGTACCTGCGAGAGCCACAAGTGGCCCTTGGAGCTTTTCTGCTGCGCTGACATCTGCTGCATTTGTCAGGACTGTGTGAAAGAGGAGCATAAAGGCCACAAGACAACTCCAGTGGGGGAGGCAAGGAGACGGATAGAGGCAAGTGTTGCTTTGTCAAAATAAAGTTATTCATGTTTTTTTTTGAACATCAGTTGTTAAGAAAATGGATTAAAGGGACTGACAGTTTAAAATGGACTTGACCTTATCTAAGTTTGAAAACCCTGTTGCCATTTTCAAAGCCACTTGCATAGTTTTGTTGTGTTTTATTTCTTAGGTGTTGTTAGTTTTTGTAAATATGCCAAACACATTTTTGAGGAAATGAAAATTGGAGATCCTTAAATCTCTAGGCTCCATAATGTTTCCCCAATGACCTCAATGTTGAACAGAAGTAGGATCCAATCCCCCAGCTGTTTGCAAACTTCCTCATTCATCAGCAGGGTACACTTGATTTAATCACAACAGTAATCCTATCTCTGTGTCCATTTTAAGGCCACAAATATCTGCATCCGACCCTCAGCTTGAGTCAAATTCCTGCAGAGACACCTATTAATGTCACAGGCTGCTGTTGGAAAATATCAAACTCAAACAACCTACAGAACAGTATAATTTCCCTGTTTTTTTGTTTCATTTTTGTTTTTGTTTTTTTTAGACTACCAGTAAATCCTGGGTCTAATCTGCACCAATTCAGGCCCAGGTTGATTTACCACAAAATGGTCAGGTTATGAGATTGACCCAGTGGACTGGAATGAGACAAAATGGAGTTAAAGTGACCAACTGGTAATTTTAAGGTTGCGATAACATGGATTAGTTAAGAGGAAACATTTGGGTCAACCAGATCTATTCTAGATTAAAGATTGCAGTACAATTAAATGAAACAATAATAGATATAAATAATTCAGTTTGAATAACAAATTGTATTTTACTCTAGACCTGTATGGTTTTAAATATAGATGGGTACTAAGTAAATCCAGGCTCACAATGGCTCAGACCAAATCGGTTAAAACCAGCTAAGAACCCTTTGTAGGCTCTTGCTGGGTCGGAAATTGTGACATTGGTGTTAAAAAAATGTAATGGGACCAAAAAAAAGAAAAAATGTAGGACTAAGAGGGTTCCAGAGTTTTTCTGTATCAAATCTTGTTCTGCAGTTAACTTGGAGCATTCCTCTATACAATGGAAAATCCCAGACCCCTGACGGTCCCTTTTAGGGTCCCATTTTCTCCTACCTAGGTAGGCAGTGTTGACCTAGTGGTCAGAGCAGTGCGCTTGTGCTCTGAGAAGGTTGCAAGTACCCGGTTCGATCCCCACAGCCTGCACTCTGAGTCGCTGAGCACACTGCTCCCCGGGGGCCATACCATGGCAGCCCACTGCTCCCCAATGTGATGGGTTAAATGCAGAGTTAAATTTCTCCAATGTGAGATCAATAATGTTCAACATTTAATTATATAATTATTATCATTATTTATTTTCATTTTCATTTTTACATATTTTAGCCCCATCCTTAAATGTTGACTGGGTGTGTTGGAAATGGAATGATTTCCATTTTAGATTTCTGGAACCAGATCCTTTATAAAGTGTAAATCTTTGCAAATGTTTCTCTAACCTTGATCAATATACTTATATCAGAAGTGTTTATTTTCTTTTAAACATTTTGAGGCATAGTTATTATGACCGATACCTCTGGTCATTTCTCAGCAGAATAAACCATGCCTAACCCCGCCTTACCATCCATTGGTGGCAGATTCAGTTTCTGTTGCTTCTTTATGCAAAACTAGAAAACATCCTTATTCCTCATTTCAAACTGGGCCATACCTCACTTTATTTCCTTTTTTTTTTATTTATTATTTTTTTTTTAATAAGGTGTCATGTTTTCCCTGGCCATACACCTCAAATCTATGAACTGTTCTGGGTTTGACCCCTCCCTAGAGAAGCTGGCAAAATCGTAACTAAAATAAAGAACATAGAACCTGATATATTCTTGTATGAATCCTGCATTCAAGCAGCTGAAGGGAGATAATTGGGATTGATCTTTAGCATCTGAATTTGAAAGTCTTTTTTTGGGATCGTCATACTGGTAGGAGGCTATGGGGCCAGTCCTAAACTCTTAGAAAGGTCAGTTTACTCAACATGTTCTAGGAACATCATTGAATCCTCCATTAGAAGCTCTTTTAAGAAGAGGCTGGCAACTCATCTGAACCCTGTCTTATCAACCTAACGATTGATACGACAGGGTGTAAATTATACAGTGACAATAAATAGCTGTGCCATGTTTTATACCACATAACACATTTTATCTAGAATAGAAACTATAAAAGCAGACCTATGGAATACAGATGTGTAAACCGATTTCCTTCCAATATTTCAGGTTCCTGTGTCAGACCCCTCTGTAATAACGCACACTACAGGCAGTGAATTCCTGCTCTCATTTAACGTGTTTTTAACCTACATGGGCATGCCGACTCAAGAAACTGAGCAAAATTTTTGCCCCAGGGTTTGAATCTTATTCTAGATGCCGTCAAGGCCTGCCTTAAGAATTCTGACCCATCTAGCTAACCTGACAAGAAGAAAAACCTCTGAAAGAAATTGTTTTAAAAAAAGGATGTTAATGTTACAATACCCTGACAGAGTAAAGAAAACCAGACAAAAACGTGTAAATGTTTACATCTTCCTAAATGTTAAGAACATATTTTCTGCATGACTAAATGTGGTGTAGTTTCTACTAGAAGGCTTGCTCAGACCTTTGTGCTGCCCTTCCTTCTGATCGCAGAAGGAGCTGCGGGAGAAACAGACTGAGATGGTGAAGATGGTGACAGCAGGAGACAACGCCATCAACAAACTCCAAGACAACAGAGTTTCTATTGAGGTAAACAGAAGAGTTGACTCATCTGTAAGATGACTTAAAGGTTGTGAGACAAAAACGTATCCCAATCACCGAATCAGCTATTTTTAGTGAAAAGTTTTAAAGCTACTCTGGACAAACAGGTTTCCCTGTGAGGTCAGAATAAAGCTGTAGTAGCCATGCGATGAGGTAACAAATATTTACCCTGTTAGGGCGTGTAGGTATGTAACATCACCGTGTTGCTTCACTGCATTCTCTGCCTGTTATATTTCACAGCAATCGGTGACAAAGGTACGGACGGTGATCGAGAGCCAGTTCCAGGAGCTTCAGGCCATCGTGGAGAGGGCCAAGAAGGAGCTGACTGAGATCCTGGAGAGCGAGGAGAGTCAGGCGCTGAAGCAGGCTGATGGCATCCAGGTTCACCTGGAGCAGCGGTCCACAGAGCTGAAGAAGACACAGGCCCAGACGGAGAAGCTATCTAAAAATAAAAATGATGTTGACTTCCTGCAGGTGAGGATGTAGCACAAAACATGAATGCATTATCACATTTTACAGCAAGCAAAAAGAAACTTTGAATGGATCTTCATTTATTAGCCATGTTAACTTTAGGAGAAAAATATGCAATTTTGTTATGTTTAAGCAGAATCCTAAAAAAATATTGATATGGTCAAATAAAAATAAATATCATTTTTTCAAACTTAGATTTTCAAGTATTATAGTTTTGGTAACCTTGTAATGTCATTAATACTTCAATTCCAGAACTACGATCAAATATCTCAAATTTAAACAGGTTTGCCAAGATCTGCCATTCTGGACTTTTTGGTTCTCAGTTATGCTTTATTTTATTATTCTGTATTGTCAAGATTTATATTATTTTTCAATTCTTACTGTGACTCGTTCTTATCTCTTTTCAGCCTTTTTGCTGTCATTTATTCCTTGCTCTAGTTTTAGTTATTCTTTCTTATATCCTTAGGTTATGTTTTCCATGGCTTCGGTTATCTCCAGTTCCTTCTCTAATCCCCTAGTTTTTCCCCTTGGTTATTCTTTATTTTGTAGTCATTAGTTTTATTCCACTTCAGTTTAAGTTATTTTCTATTTACAGTTAAACCTTATTTTCCCTGGTTACCCTTTGTTGCCCCCTAGTGCCTCTTTCCTTTCCCCTTGGCTCCTTTCTAGCTGCTTCTGTCTACATCTGCTCCCACTTAACCGATTACTCCACTCTTGGTTTTATGTTCCATAAATAATCCTCTACAGTTCATCGGCGCTGAATTCTGTTCATTTCTCGTCCCCACTGTATGTTCCTACTACAGTAAGTGTTTCCCTGTTTTGGTTCCTGATTTCCCCGCCAGTTATTTATTGGATTAATTCTGTTCCTACCACATCAAATCTGCTAATAATAAGTCAGAACATCTCTGCCTCCACTTCTCTGCATTTGGGTCTTCAACCAACTTCCACCCAACCCTAACAATATTCAGTTCAATACAATCTTAAAAAACCTGTTCAAATCAAGTTATCAACAATCTAACTTATTTCCAGTGATAATGAGTTAATTTTAGTATATCCATTTCTTTTTAAATTCCCCCGAGGGAAAACATGCAAACTGCAACAAGTAAAGAATGCACTAATCAATCCTCCTGAATGAGCATGTAGAGACAGCTGATAGTTGAGTCAGCTTTTTATAGTTATCGGAAAAAAGAGTTTATTCATAAGCAATCTCCTCCTAAATTAACTGAGAAGTAATTTACACCATCCACTCAAAACATGGCTGCAGGGGGACACACACTTATTACTTTCAGGCACTTTAACAAAGATCATTAGTTTTATACCAAAGATTTAAAAAAATATATATGTTTATCTTTGCCCACACGGTAGAAAAGATTGTGGATCAAAATGAATGAGGCTAAAAATGAATAATTTACTGTTTCTGATAGCATAAAAGACATCTACTGTAGCTGCTGAAAGACGTAAGAAAGGCAGCAGTATTTAATGACAAGATATAATATGTGTCCTGATGGTGGAAAATTGGTAAAAGCCTTAATAATGCAATACCATTGTTGGTATGGGTTTGCTGTTTTGAACTTTTGTAGCAAATTTTACATACACCAACCCACGTACACCAACAAAATTAAGAAATCCTCCTCTATGTTTGGAAAATGTTCTGACATGAGCTTAAAATAATATTGATGAAAACATGAAATGCAAAGAATTGACTTTGTTACCCAAAATATGACACAGTTGTCACTCCTGCGAGCTATCTGCTCTCTCTGAACTGTGCTGACATTCTCAGCACAGAGTCCGGTTCCAGCTGTCAGATGGAGTCTCCCAGGGTTCCTTATGTCAAACATGTTTGTGCATTTAATGGATGAATTCTTAGAGCATTTGTAGGAAGGTGACTGGTTTTGAAGACATGGGTCATAATAAAAATAAATCCTGGCTAAAAGCATTAGAAATTGTCTTCTTCTGAGGAAGGATTCTATCTGATGGGTGAAATAAGGAGTGCAGTTTTCCCTTACAATCTGTTGCTCTGTTTAGGATGGATGGATTGATGGAAAAGCATTTATCTTCACTAACACCTGAAGATCACCATGCTCCTATTACTGAGCTTCTCTGTGCTTGTTTCTCAGGAATATGCAGAGTGGAAGAAAGAAACCTCTGATAACTCTCCATCTGGCATCTACATCGGCCTGGAGGACCGTTTGGACTCCTTCAGCCACGTGATCGAGGAGTCCACTAAGAATCTTTGTGACATGCTGGTGTCTACATACATTCAGAAGGTCAAGGAGAAGTGTAACAACGGTGAGTAAACCTGAAGTTGAGCACAGGAAAAAGTAGAGCAATCTGCAGAAAGGTACAGATGTTCAGATCATTCTTTGACTGTTTGGGCATGTTGCCGCATGCAGGGAATTTCTAATGGTTCGTTGCATGTGTTCAGCTACATTTGTGCCCACTGAGTCACTGCTTTAGCATGTTACATAAACAGGTTGATCTTCAGGGGAGGGAAGACTTGAATACTTGTCTAACTGGATTTTTTTTTTCTGCTTCAGATGAAATAGGTATAAAGATAACAGTTCAAACAAATACAGCTGCTAAACATGACTCTTCTGCACCTAACCCGAAGACACGCGCTGACTTTCTCCAATGTAAGTACATGGCTATAATATAAACTCCTCAATAACTTTGAATCCAATTTCTTTTTATTTTCCAATACTGTTTAGAATTACTGGCAACATGAAATTCCCTTCAGTGTATTTGTGTGCATTTATAGTTGTCTTTCCTGTGTATCCCAAAGAGGATTTTGGAATCTATATAGAGTTAGCACAGTGTTTCTGACTTCTTGATAAAGGCAACAGCCCCATCCATCTTGCAAGTATGGAAAAGGCAGGCAGCTGCATATATAGGCAGGATGAGGGGAAGTTGTCTTTTCTTCAATATAAACCAAAAACAGCAAGCTATCATTTATTCTGTCAGTCTTAGACAGATTTTATGTATTTTATACAGTCAGGTTTCATTATCAGGCAGTCGGGCCATTGAGGTAATGTGGAAAATACAAAGAATAAATGAATAATTACAAATAAATAATAATGATTAAAAAAAAAACATGATAGGAACTACTAGATCTGGCAAAGAGTCGATAGCATGATATTGATGCACAAGAGGGTGGATTGCTTTTGTTTTTCTACAACCTTTAGCGCTCATTGGTCAAAGCACCAACCTGGAAGCATTTGATTGGCTAGTTTGTTACTGTAAAGTAGTGGGATCTAATTTATGTTTCCAAAGTCCACTATCCTGCGTTTTTTGTAGATATTTTTTTTCCCTCTAGTTCAACACACAAAAATCATATGAATAAAACTTGACGACATGTTAAGGATGTGATTAATCCTTGATGTACCCGTTTCAGAGCAGAAAGACATCTGAAACATACAGGACATTAGCTCTTATGGACTGGAGAGGGATCAACCCTCCTCCAGAAGTTTTTTTTCAAATACTTCGAGGTAGTTATTTCTATTTTATACAAGGCTAATTATTTTCAAGCATGTCCCCTAAGGAGGCCTCAAAATGCCAGCTTCTGCAATGGCTGACAGGGTTGCTCCCCGATAGATTGTGGTAGTTCCAGGGTATTTAAATCCATCTGCTTTTGTCATAGCATTGAGGAATATGCTTGACAATGGGGGAAAAACTTGTAACACTGAGTAAACCAGTGGGAGGAGAATTTATCTTGCAGTCGGAAGATTTTGGCTCAGTTCTTGGTTCATCCGTCCTGTGGGATGTAGCCTTGGGCACTTAACTCAAGCAGCCTATCAATCTGCAGGTTGTGTGCATGTTTGTGTGTGTCTGGCTCTAGTTTTAAAGCACTTTGAGTGTTCGGTATGACTTGATAATCTATTTATGCAGAGAGAATCCATTTGTGTGGAAGAGTTATTTTCATAGCAGTTTGATATCTGAAAAGACTCATAAACTGTTTTACACACATTCAGAGCAAATAAATGGTTTAATGAATTTGGGGTACAGATTTACTTTAACAAATTTGTTTTCAATTATTTTGCACAACTAACATGTGGAATAATTCCTTCTAGATGCCGCCCAAGTCAGTTTCGATGGTAACACAGCTCACAAGTTCCTCCGCTTAACTGAGGAGAACAAAAAGGTGACCAACACCACACCCTGGCAGCATCCTTATCCTGATGTTCCCGAGCGCTTTGAGAACTGCCGCCAGGTCCTGGCTGCTGAAAGCTTCTACGTGGGTCGTCACTACTTTGAGGCCGACCTCACAGGCGAGGGGACGCATGTCGGCCTCACGTACAAGAGCATCGATCGCAAGGGCGAGGAGAACAACAGCTGCATCACAGGAAACAACTTCTCCTGGTGTCTCCAGTGGAATGGGAGGAGCTTCTCAGCGTGGCACAACAACGAGGAGACACCTCTGAACGTGGGGAAGTTCACTCGAATCGGTGTTTACGTTGACTACTCGCAAGGCCTTATTTCTTTCTATGGCGTAGACGAGACCATGCCACTACTTCACCAGTACAAGACCCAGTTTCTAGAGCCTCTCTATCCAGCTTTCTTTCTGCCAAAGAAGGAGAATATTGTACTTCTAGTGGCCCCTGGGGAACCGTTACCTCTGAAAAGCCCCTCTCCTCCCACTTCCCCAGCAGATGGAGGCACTTCTCCACAAACATAAATAAAATGGGCTTAATAAACTGAGCTAATGATATCTGAAAGGAAAAATATGTGAAAACTTTTGAAATTTTAAACCTGATTATGTGTTTTGCAGGAAAATGATTTTGTTTCACGCATGTTTATGAATTATATTTGTGGTTTTTGGGCTTACTGTTACAGGATGTTTTCTGTTACTGTTCTGTATTGATATAAATATTATGCTTATCCATTTTGAATAAATTATATATTTTCTTTATAGACATTGTCTATTGTCTCAGTGTAACCTATTTATTACAAAAAATGCACCATGTGTCACATTTGTTTTAAAATTAAAAATGTAACAGGTTTTATTAAAAATGACAAGAACCTATATAAAAGTATGTCAGTCTTGCGTCTGATGCCATACATTACAACCTGTCTCACTATTATCTTGTCACCTTCCCCCTTTACTCTAACAGACAACCAACAATTTCCTCTTTTTCATGCATTAATTCTCTTTCCTACCTGTGTTCTGTCTCTGGTCATTATTTTCTCAATTGTTCCTCATTCATTCTTTAGAAATGCTCTATTTACAATACAGATCAAATGTTGTTGATATTCACTTTGGATGTCTATCTTACCTTAACTGTTTACCTGCCAATCAAATAAGAAGTGCTCAGAACAGAGCCCTGATTTAAACTGGGAAAAAGTACCACATATTTAACACCTATGCAAAACCTCACCACTGTCTCAATATAATTGTGTATTTACCTAGACCTAGACAAAGTTTATCGTCATTTTGTGTACAGACTGTATATAAAATGAAATTTCAATGCGTACAGCTTTCAACAGGGAAATGAACATTACCTTTTATAAAGTGCAGCAGTGGTCCTAATGTGTAGGAGTGTGTAACAGAGTAGGAGAAAAGGTAAACCAGTTTAAAGACATGGTGCAAAAAGCATTGATGTGGAAAGGTTCAGTGGAGTGGAAAACAAATACAGTGCAAAATGCAGTCTAATATTGAGTTTTGTTTTATTTAAAGGGATTAGGAAAAAAGCTAAGTTGCTAGTCCAAATGTGTTTTCAAGTGTGATGCAGAGTCCAGATTAGAGTTTCAACAGCTGCAGCACTGAATGCTGCAAAGCCTCTTCCCAGAGGGCAGCAGGAAGAACAGTCTATGATGGGGGTGTGAGGGGTCATTGATGATGTTACTGGGTCGGGACACGCAGCGCTGGGATGAAATGTCTTTTATGGAGGAAAGAGGAGCCACGATGATCCTTTCTGCTCTTCTCACCACTCTTCTCATGTTCTTTCAGTCTGAGGCGCTACAGCTGGTCAGAACGCTCTCTATGGTGCTTCTGTAGAGGGTTGTGAGTATGGGAGGGGGCAGGTGAGCTCTCCTCATCCTCCGCAGGAAGTACATGCGCTTATTTTCCGTTTCTATTTCCTGTACCACCTGTTCTAAAATTTCTAGGGAAGGACACATTCTGTCCTAACCTTCCGCATCAACAATCTCATGTCAAACAATCTATTAATGTTATTTAAGCACCTTCTTAGTGCGAATCACTGAAAGTTTGAGGACTTTGTTTAAGAGGAAATTCTGCTGTGTTCTCTGAGAAATATTCCTACTACAACAGACTTCCAGAACTACCAATTTTTAGGTGAACTTTCGAGCTTGTTTTAAAAAATGTATTAAAGAATAAAAATATTTAAGAAATATTATAAGAAACAAAGATAGGTGATAACTGTATCAAAGACCTGTATGTGCAAGCATGTTTTTGTGGTCTAAAAGCTCCTCTGTAATGGATTGCTGTTCTGCTCACAGGGAGTCTCAGAGCTTAGGTGCAAAAATCGCAAATAAATAATCCCCCTATTGTTTTTAATCTTCTTCTGGGAAATGAATAATGATATGTTTAGCTAAGTGCAAATCTCTGACATGATGGGGAACAACTAAAAGTTCAGTCAAGACCCTGGATGGTCTTAAAAACGTAAAGAAAAAAATTAGCAGGACCTTGAATTCTATTTTAAAATACAGCCTACAGAAAGCCAGGAGGAGGATGACAAAATGGGGGCACTTTAAGGAACAATGGGAAGAAATTAGCCACCTGCATTTTGTACCAGTAGAAAGTTGTTGAAGATAGTCTGGCTGATTCCGGTTTACAGGACATTAGTCTAGCCTTGAGAGAACAAAAGCATTAATTGATCTTTCAAGATTTGCCCAATATTGAAAAGTTTTGCTGCCATTCATTTTGATCTATATTTAAATATGTATATCATCAACATAAAAATGACGGGAGACATTTTTTAAACAGATATTAGGTCCTATTGGAAAAAAAGATGGAGAACAATACTGGTCCAAAAACTGAGCCTTGTGGTCTGCCAGAGAACAAGGGGGTAATGTGAGGTCATTATTCATTACCAAGAAATACCAGTGATGGCAATAGAAAACAACTTTTCTTCTTTTCAAATTCTATTCGAAGAGGTTTCCTAATTATTTACATGTTTGTATGTTTTGAAGTTATGGCATTCAATTCTAGCTCGCTGAATAAATAGAAGCAGCAATTAATCAGCTTACGAGAGGAGACAGCTGAAAGAAGTCTGTATAAAAAACTTCACATCTTTCAACCCAAAAGACAAAAAAAATCACAGAGTAAACAAAATCCAAATTCTTTGTCCGCTTAATTATTCAGTCACTCTTAGGTTTTTTCTTATGTGGCTTTTTAAGATCCTACGGAAGAGGATTAGGGCCACTGAAAAAACAAAAAAAGTTAACTGATTTTTTAATTTTATTTCAGTATAGTATAAGAAAAAAGTCATAATTCTGAGTTTAATCTCAGTATTCTGACTTTTTTCTCAGAATTCTAACTTTAAATCTTAGAATTCTAAATTTAAATCTCAGAATTCTGACTTTAATCTCAGAATTTTGGATCTTAATGTAGATGGGCACCATGAAGGAAGAGATGTGGGAGCACTCAGCTTCACTGACAAAGATGTGAGTTGTTTGGGAGGGCCAGTAACACATTGGTGAAAAATGACGAAATTATGCAACTTTTTACATGCCCGAGGAGAATTCTCAGAAAAAAGTCAGAATTCTGAGATTAAAGTCAGAATTCTGAGAAAAAGTTAGAATTCAGAGAAAAAAGTCAGAATTCTTTTTCAACTTAAATAATATTTAAAAATCAGTTAACTTTTTTTTTTTCATTTTTTAGGGGTGTGATCCTCCTGCAACTATAATAAATATGGTTAACACAATGGCTTGTTATAAACTATTATATAGGACTAATCATAATGAGTCATTTTGGTAGAAAAAAAAAGTTTTTTCACCGACCATTCCTTGTTTTGAAAGATTTTTTTCTAAACATAGTGGTTCAAAACACATTCTGCAAAGAATAAAAAATATAAAAATTATTTAAAAGCCACCACACTGACGTCAGATGCATTGGTCACGTGACCAACGTGTAACTTATTTTGACGTGTCACAGAGCATGTAACCAGGAAGAGCCTGCTAAATTCTCACCATGCTAACAGGAGTAAGTGACAAATATTCGCTTGTATTATAAAGAAAAACTAGATGGCACACAGCAAATCCTGGTTCTGTGACGTTGTGATGCAAAAAATATCAACGAAAGCCTGTTTTCCTGCTAACAATGAAGGCCACCAGCTGTCGTGCTAATGTTGTTAGCATGCTAAACGTAGCAGATTAACGTTAATTTACGAAAGATGTCTTAAATTCAAAGTTTTTTTCGTGTTTTCCATGAAGTCCGGGGCTTTTTTATATTCTGTTTCTGTGCTTTATAATATACTTGTAGTCTGTATTTAGTAATGGTGTCCTGATACTATAGGATCTGGGTTGTAAGGATTGCTAATGTTAGCTCCGTAAACATCTTTTATACTACACAAACCACAAAGGTCTGTTTGTTTTCAGTTTTATAGGGTTCAGTGGGGGTAGGAATAATGCAGTTCAACCACCGAGTGGGACAAACAATTAGTCTGGTTAAGAAACTGACACGTCGATAAGACAGATTTGTGTATTTTAGGTGCCTTTTTTTGTTGAGACAGCTCTTTGCATTAATATCCAATTACCTCCAGCTTATTTGTTCAAAACTATTCTACTTTCTGTCACCAATCTTAAGTGAATTTCAGAGATGCTGTTCTAACTTCAGCTAAATTAATTTTTTGTATGTATGTCTGCTGGAGTTTATGTAAACCCCATAAATTCATGCGTGTTGCAGAAAAGTTAGAATATTATAAAATATGTCATACCTGTGCAGTTTGTTGCACTGAATTCAATGATAAATATACGGAAGAGGATTAGGGCCACTGACATTTTTTTTTTAAAAGTTTACTGATTTTTAAATTCAGATTTCTGAGATTAAAGTCAGAATTCTATTTTTGTTTTTTCATATTATACAGAAATAAAATGTAAAAATCAGTTAACTTTTTTTGTTTTTTCAGTGGCCCTAATCCTCTTCCATACAAATATTACTGTTGGTTGCTCCAAATGTTTAAAGAAATGCTTAGGTGTTATGTTGCCTTCATGTGCCATCGTCGTTATGGTAAATGGCAAAAGCCGACATAAAAATTGCACATGAACTCCTACTCATGTTGGGATTTCCACTGGAAAGCTGTTAGGATATTATGATACCCGAGATGAGGTGAACTTTGACCTTTCAACATGGGGTGGAAAGCAGAAAAATTATTTTGTATGGCGAATGCTGCATTGTTGAGAGTTCACTCATGTTTTGATTGAACCTACACAATGCCGAGACATACTTAAAAAAAAAATTGTTATTATTTTTCTTGCACTTCTGCGTCGCAAGAAGTGGAAGAGTGACCTTTGTCGGGTATTGATGGCGTTCAGGTCGGATGAACCTGGCTGTTCAGACACAGGTCGCATTTCAAAAGATTAGATTCGTTTCTGATACAGGACCACATAGCCAAGCGGCCTGGGTCCCATTGGAAGAAATTGGATCTGTGTTGTTCAGTCATGAAAAGATCAGATCCAGGTCGCATATGGGCCAAAAAAAAATCCGATTTGGGTCACTTCAGGCTGCAGTGTGAACGTAGCCTAAGTCAGCTACCTGTTAAAGCTACAGCTCCAATCGACTGAAACTGTCCCCTGATCAGACCATATGCACATGTCTGATTTGGTTTAGACGTTCTGTCTCTCTAAAGGTAAAACCTTTTCCTTTTTGATATCCCAGGATACTAATGATGAAGACGTGTCTTTGTTTGATGCCGAGGAAGATGCAGGGAAAAGGTCAAAGAAGAACATCAAGTAAGTTTAGAGTCTGGATGAGATTAACTGTCTTTGCTTGCTTGTATTTTTTGGGCAAATATCACCATTTTTATTCGAATGTATTCAGACAAAGGTGTATGAGGTCTCTGCATTTATATTTTTTTCTATTAATTTCCCCCTTTTTATTTCTTTAATGAGACAAATGACATTAAGTACATGTAACCCTAGCTATGCTAATTCCCAAAACAGCTGATTATTCTAGTTCATTTTACAAATTGCAAAAGAAGCATAACAACAATACCGTTGTGTATTAGATGGATATGTATCTTTTTAAGAAGGAAAAATAATCTAATCATGATTGGGAAAAAGATCCTGTCATTATTAAAAATCTTGTCTTTGTAGTCATGAGCAGTCCTTAAAATACTTAATTACTGAGATGAACTTTAAGCTTTGCAGAATCATCTTTAAAGCTTCATTGTGTTTTCTTCTCATTAGCTTTTAATTGTGTTTCTATTTCTTTTTCATCTTTAAAGTATATTGCCATTTTATTAAATGCATATTGCTTTGAGTTTTCTCTTCTGGTGCTTCCTTTCGTTGATTTTGTTTTTTTAGATTATACCATCTCCAGCATTTATGCGTGTCTAATGTGGGAGCAACAATCTTTAAATGGGCTTTTAAATGCAATAATGTTAGGTGTGCAGCAGACCTGAGGCTGTCTGCAGTGAACCTTTAAAATAACCATTTCCATTATTAGGATTAGAGCTGCAGGGTATTAAAAAAAACAACAAAAGAAACATTTGAGTATTTCTATTTAGAATTGCAAAGATAATCTTACAAAACAGTTTCTGAATATTTTCCTGCATTTTTTTAGTCAGCGCTGTGGTATCTTCACCTCTATCTTTTTTACATCTAGGTAATGAAAGTCTATATCAGTTGTGAAAGTTTTTTCTGCTGGCACCAGTAAATGATTTAGTGCCCAGGGTGTGAACAAATTTAGCATTTTTAGCATTCCTTGTGGTTGTGATATTGCACACACTGACATTATAATGACGATTGCCATAATTTAAGATTTTGTGCAGATTTCACAAGATCGAGTTGGATATAGAGAACTCAAGAGCTGCATTTTTCTTCTACGTATTTGTTGGTCAATAGAAAATGTGTAAAAATAAAATCTCCTTCTAGTGCATTCTCTAAAATAAGCAAATGTTTGAAAAGTGCAATTCACCAAGTAATCTTTATGTTCCATCTCTGACCATACAGACTAAAACACTGGTCATATGATCCATTAACTATAACGTAAATGTATGGCAGGCATCCAGTGGCGTCCTTCTTCCACCTCTTCTTCAGAGTCGGCGCTACGCTCGTCTACCTACTCTGTGAGTTTGTCAGCGGCAGTTTCATCGCCTCCATGGTTACCATCATCTTGCTACTCTCGTGTGACTTCTGGACTGTAAAGGTGGGTATTTTTTTACACACATGTGGGATTGTACTTTCTCCTGGAGCTGTCCGAAGCTTCTGTTGCTATGATCAACAAGGATAAAACAGATCTATGTTTTGGAATGAATGTCAGAAGCTGGAGTGCCACTGCGCTTCGATATTTCTTTTTTGTTGTTGTTTACTTTACTTTAGAGCTGAAACAATTATTTGGATTAATCATGATTAACTGCTTATTTAAACAAATATGGCTGCTCAGTGTCACAGAGTGTAGCACTGCTGCATTCCAGCAAGAAGGTTCTGGGGTCGATTCCCGGCCTGGGGTCTTTCTGCATGGAGTTTGCATTTTCTCTCTGTGCATGTGTAGGATCTCTCTGGGGACTCCGGCTTCCTCCCACAGTCCAAAAACATGACTGTTAGGTTGATTGGCTTCTCTAAATTCTCCTTAGGTGTGTGTGTGTGTGTTTGTGTGAGAGTGAATGGTTGTTTGTCCTGTTTGTCTCTGTGTTGCCCTGCGATGGACTGGCGACCTCTCCAGGCTGGACCCCGCCCTTTCGCCCATAGGTAGCTGGAGATATCCTGCTTAGGATAAGCATGACGGAAAATCAATAATCGAACAAACAATAGACAGATTAATCGGTTAGCAAAATAAACATTAGTTTCAGCCATGCTTTGCTTAGAGGCTATGATTAAACAAGACTGTGGTAAACCTTATTTTTAAATGGTCGAAACCACAGAAGATTAGCATTTAAGACATTTTAGGAAAGTTCTTTCTTTTCCTTTAAGGCTTTGTTGAATCTTGCCTTCAATTCCCAGTTCAGACTTTAATCATTTAAGTTTTTTTCCCCATGATGAGTAGATATTTTAAATCAAACAGTAGGATTAACACCGCTGTTTTATCTGCTTTCTACTGTTGTAGCCATGCATGCTTGTTAACCATAGAACATAATTAAAAGCAGAAATTCTTCAAAGAAAAATTCAGTTCTCCTCATTTCTCTCGAGTTGGTCTAATTTCAACCCAAAATGTCGGCTGTGATAATTGATTTCCCATACTCTCAGTGGTAGAACTAAAAACACGGATAAGGATGAAAACCTTCAGTGTTTGTAATCTAAACTTGAAGTTAGATGAAAGATATATTAGTCGGATTATGAAGCAATGCTTAGATTCTTTGTCATAGGTGTTATATATCTATTTCTAGAGTTATGTCAAGAATTTCAGCTTTAAAAGGAACACAGCAATGGAGAAGGGCATAGTTTTTCTCTCTTTCTCTGTGTTAAAATGGATGTTTGAAATATTTTGTTTCCAGAACATCACAGGCAGGTTGATGGTGGGTCTGCGGTGGTGGAACCAGGTGGACGACGATGGACAAAGCCGTTGGGTGTTTGAGTCGCGGAAGGTAGGAGCTTCCTCTGCTGTTTCTGTTTGTTTTAGTTCATGTAGTTCGCATGCTGGCCTTTGACCTCGCTGGAGCTGTATAAGTTAGATAAATGCGTCCGTTTACTGTCAGTGACCCTTATGGTATTCACAGATGTTGTAACTGTGAGAATATCCTGTTTCCTTTAGGGTACTGGGAAGCAACAAGCATCGGATTCAGAGTCCCGAATCTTCTGGCTCGGACTGATCATTTGCCCGATCATCTGGGGCATCTTCGCCTTTAGCACACTCGTCTCATTTCGGATTAAATGGATGGTAAGAAACTTAATATTGCAGATGCAAATCTTTTAAAAGTTCATATCCACTCATAATTTACTATCATCATTGTAATATTTGTCCTTTTATAATTTATCCTTTTTTTTTTTCAAATGCTATTTGACTGTAATCCCTCTTGGATTCAAATATTCTTTTGCATTTTATCAAACTAAATCTGACTTTTCCTCGTTGTTTTCACAACTTGGTGCATTACTTCCTTGTTTACTCCCTGGGTACATTTGCAGTCTTGTACCTCCTGTTTAAAAACAAATTAAATGGGGTATAAAAATATTGCACCTAAATAAAAAAATTTGTAACGTAACTATGCCTCTTTAAGAAAGAGCCGACCAATTACATAGACTCTGCCCCTAATCAGGAAATAGTTTTTTTTGAGAAAATTTTGCTCGGAGGAGACAAAATGAAAAGAACACTTAGAGGCAGAATTAGGCTCCTAATCCTAAAATAGTGACCAGTTGTTATGGCAGTCGCAGAATCATGCTTTGGGGTTGTTTCCCTGCTAAAAGGAATGATGCATCATTCCTTTTAGCAGGGAAATTATGAAGAAAGAATTACTGCAGATTGCTGAGCATTACTTCAGATCTACAGCTGGATGATTGACGCAACAGGAAAACAGATTCAGATCAGAAATATCCTCAAATAGCTTTAAACTTCTGGAATGGTTCTGAGCTTTAATATTAAACCAGATTAAACCTTTTAACATCCACCTCATTTCGGGAATTTCTCGCCGATTTTGCATACCCAAATGGAAAAGCAAATAAGGAAAATAGGAACTGTAAGCCCAAATTACATGTGCGATAAATAATTTAAAAGCTAAAACCCTCTAGTTTTTGAATAAATAAATGAAAATTGGGTGAGTAGAACACAGACCAAGCTTATCAGTTTAAACTTGACTCAATAATAGTTTTTTTTTTTCTTGGAAATGATAGGTCTTTTTTGAACAACAGTAATAAAGACGTGCTTGGGAAAAGTCACGTCTCATTGTATTACATTTGTTCTACATAATTTCAGACCTCTAGCTACAACAGTTCCAGAGCTGTGAGGTTTAAAACTTTTGGTGTCACCAGCGTCTCCAAACCTCTCCAAATTGTTTCAATGTTTTGCTTTACTTTTTCAACCATAGAATAACACTGAAGCATTTTAATGGCCACAAAACATTTATGAAGCAAGTATTTTCCACTTTTTTTTTTTCAGAATTACTGTATATAACAAAATGCTGATTTTTTACACCTATAATTAACATAATCTATAAAAGATAGTGAAACTGCTGAAGCTAAAATAAGCCCCAGTGTTTTTTCTGAGCTGTATTTTATTTTTTTTCAGCCTTAGGCATTGTAATAAAGCAAAATCACATCCAAACTTAAAAAAAAGGATTATGATATACTTCTGACCTATACTTTAATGATGCGCACTTTACAAAATAAGAAATAGTAATATTTCATCTGTTTTTCTCTCTTAATATAAGTCTTTGTGGTAGATTTTTATTTTCACTGTGAAACCCTGAGTAAGAGCTTCCTGTTTCTTTTCAGCCTGTGGTGATCATGGGATTGGTGTTGCAAGGAGCCAATCTCTATGGTTACATACGGTGTAAAGTGGGAGGAAAGACCAGCTTAAAGAACATGGCCACTAATTATTTTGGCCAGCAGTTCCTGAAGCAGGTAATGTGATTTCAGTGCAAAATACAGATGATCCTGTTGATCTGTTATTTTTCTAAAGAGGTGTCTGTATGTTTGCCATCCACAGGCGCTGTCTAAAGAAGAGGAATCATAGTTTTACAATCTGCATCCTTCCCAGTTATTGTAAAAGTGGAGTGCAGGAAAGACTTTCCACACCAAGTGAATATTGTACTTTTTATTTTTAGGTTAATTGATTCATCAGAGAGACATTTTATGCAAAGGCCACAGGTTTGGTTGCTGTTTTTCAGTAGCTGACCTTAAGCAATAAAAAGTCTTCACTAACATCTCAGCCATGAGTGATTAAAAACATAACTTAACCGGAGTCTAGTTTGTGTTTTAGTCTCATTGAGCTTTACGTCTTTAGTTTGTCTTTTCATTTCCTTTTAATATTTTATTGTAACTTAGCAACTTTTCAATTGGTTTGTCTTTTTTTTTTTTTCTCGCACAACAGACTGTAAAATATTTCTTGTAAATATGTAAGTTAAATTATGTGGAATATCTTGTGCGCAAATACATTCTGGACTTTTTTCTGAACAGTTTGCTGTTTTCATTTATGCTTATTTATTGACAAAATAAAGACTTGCTTTCAGTTCGAGAGTGCTACATGTCAGGAGAGGGAAAATTATCTGGATATTTAAGGTTTAGAAATTAAATCTATTATTTAATGTATAAATACACTCAAGATATTCCTCCTTTTTAGGTTTGCATAGATTTCTTTCTGCTAAACTCTTTTAAAGACTGGTCACATATTTTCTATTTAGTTGCCTTTATAGTTTTCTTTTTCAGTTGTTCTGTGTAGGCTTTGCTTCTATGTGTGCTGGATTAGTGTCCTTAATTATAATTATAAAGAGGAGTTTGTGACTGATTTGATGATTGTTAGCTGCTCTCATCATCTTAATGTAAAGAAAGTTAAAATTAACACATCTGTTTTAGTTTAAACCACCAACAGCCCCACTTGTGATATAACAGATGCAAGTACTTCAGATGTTTGAAATGTAGAGTTATTTGTAGAGTGATGAGCTTATTTATTTAATGCTCCCTTTAGAGTAAAAACTCCAAAAAATATTTTATAGTTTACTATTAATGTTGATAGTTGTTGTACAGCAGCATAAAGCTTTAAAGATGGCAGTTCTTTCTTTTTGACTTCAGAAAGTAGAAACTGTTTTTGCACACATTTGACTTTCTAAAACCTTTGTTTTATTTGTCAAAAATTACATTTTTTTTTTGTCAAACTTTAATATGTATGACTTATGTCTTATGTTGTGGAATACAAATTCAAGGTATGAGCAATTGTTGCTTTAATTATTGGTACGACGGCGCCCCCTGGCGTTTATATTAGCATGTTGCGTGTCTTTTTTTTTTCCATCTCGGTGTCCAGCGACTCGCGCAGAGAGCAAATTCTTTTTTTTCTTTTTCTTTTTCTTTTTTCGTACAAACTTTAAAAATTCTATTCAGCAATACAAATGTTATTAGCATTTGTAAAAAAAAAATATATATATATTTTGATGCGGAAAGGACGAGCAAACATCAACTACTAGTGAACATCCTTTCAAAATAAAAGCCTCATCTGCGCTGGAAACCAATAAATTCATAAAACATGCGAAGACTACCAAGATGCAAACACATCGAGCAACACATTCAGAGATGTATTACTATAATTTAAAATAAAATAATTTTTAATTTGGATTAGCATCAGCAACTTTTTAGCGACATGACAAGAGTTCAGGGCAGAGCACCGAACCAACCTTGGCAGCATTACTTCATGATGAGGTGTGAATTCAGGTTACATTATCTGTCCAAATTAACTCTATGTAACACAAACATAACCATTGAATAAAATCGAGCCTCCCTTGCAGTGCTTCTTTTATTTTGAAGGTGAGCCGGAAGCTAACCTACTGTAACTGCTGTCCAAGCTAGCTTACGGCAGCTCCTTTAGCTGCTTGAAACAGCAGCTTCTGTTTGTCGATTTTTATGCTATAAACCACCTGGATCGTTGCCTGTCTTCCGTTGGAGAGCTTCCTTTGATGGGAATTAGCTCCAGAATGATTCCTACCGAGGATGCGTCCGCCAGGAAGCGAGAGATCGAGGAGAAACTGAAGCAGGTCAGTTTGGCTGGACAGGAAGAGGTTTCCAATGTCACAATATTCATGCTTTAACTCAGCAAACAAATAGTTTAAAACACCCGCAGGATGTTACCTATAAAGATTGATTCAGAAAAGGTGTGATCGGAGGTAATTGTTCATTGTGGGGTTTTATAGGAACAGGAAACTCTGTCATTCATCCGGGAGAACCTGGAGAAGAGCGATCAGCTGACCAAAGGCATGGTGAGATCCACAGTGACAATAACAATCACATAAACACTAGATTATGACTTTATTCATATGTACTATTGTTAGAGTTGATTTAATACAAGCTTCATTTTTAATTCAATTTCTCACAGTCTATACTACTTATATGGGGGGGCTACACACAACATATTTGTAAACATATTTATTTTTAAATAACACAGAGAAATCCACTAATATCAGCTTTTCATTAAAGCAGAAGTTTGCCTGGATTAGAGCAAAACTGCTAGCAGGTGAAATTTCTTTAATCTGCAAATCAAATATGTAGTTTTTGTAGATCTATATTATTAAGTTGTAGGCAAATGGGATGCCTCTCTGTTACATCAGTTCAGTTGCCTCTGAAATATCTGGGAATGCTTTCTAAAGCTACTACAAATATCTGAGTGCTGTGAATGATAACAGACTGGATTTGAACTGACTATTTTTGACAAATTATTTTTGATCTTTGAATAATTGCAGCATGATGGTGATCTTTTATCAGCCTGTAGTTTCTAGTGCAGTCCTTTGTTTTTCAGCTTTTTGTTAAGAGGAATAGCATCAGGGCAATGGGATACCCTAACAATCAACAGTAGAGCTGGATTAAGGATCAGAAGATCCATCCATCCGTTTTTTAACATGCTTACTCCCAAGTGGGGTCACAAGGGGTTCTGGTGCCTATCTCAAGCTGTCAATGGGCGGATCAGAAGATGTTTGACTTTATCAGAACAATTATCTGCAAGGTCATAAATGCATGCAACATGTCTAACAGTAAAGGGATGTATGACATAAACTTTATTAGATTCCCCGCCCCTTGAAAATGCCTGCGACATGCATATGTAATGAAGCTATTTAAAACGTGATGCCCCCTAGTTAATAACTCACTTGCATTAATGACATGACAGCTTTTGGGAACAAATGATCATTAATAAACTTCACCTGCACTGATGATATTACACCCATTATAAATATGATTCGGTAATTGCCTGTCCGTTGCATTTTTTACACCCCAACTATTGTGCATTTGGTATCCCTAGGCAAGGGCTCTCGCTTGCATGGATGATGTCACAGCTGTTCTGAATAGTCATTCTATAGAATATAGAATTGAACACTGTAGTAACTGCTATATTCAGGAACAGGCTTGTTTTAAAGGCAATGCTCTAAGAGCAATGCATGGGTAAAAATGTCCTGAAAGTACATAAATGTGCAGAAAAAATATTTAAAAATCCTGCAAAAATAAGAAATTAAAGTAAGTAAAGACTGAAACAAGACTAACACAAAACAAAATAAAGAGCAGCTCAGTGCTAACAAAATTCACATATAAAACCCGCTGCAAACACATAAAAGATGCTAGCCACTGATAGGGGGGCATCTTGGTTACTAACCAGCCCCTCCAACTATCAACATATAGTCAAAAAGTTTTTATTTTTCCAAATAGGCAAAAAACAAACAAAAAACGGGTTGTAAAGATATATATAGGCTTTATATTTAGGTTACAAAAAAAGACTTGGGTAGAATTCAACCCAAGTCTTCCTAAACATTAAATAAAGGCTAATATAGAAGCCAAGGGTGTAGGTTTGATTTGAACTTTGGTAGGGACACTATTGGTC